GTTGTGTTCTTCACACACACAGGTACACGTGAGTAAGCCTCACGCACACAAACAAGGTGGTCGTGCTTCACAGCGGCACGTGTGTGTGTGTGCTTCACAGCGGCACGTGTGTGTGTGCTTCACAGCGGCACGTGTGTGTGTGCTTCACAGCGGCACGTGTGTGTGTGCTTCACAGCGGCACGTGTGTGTGTGCTTCACAGCGGCACGTGTGTGTGTGCTTCACAACGGCACGTGTGTGTGTGCTTCACAACGGCACGTGCGTGTTTGCTTCACAGCGGCACGTGTGCGTGTGTGCTTCACAGCGGCACGTGTGTGTGTGTGCTTCACAGCGGCACGTGCGTGTGTGCTTCACAGCGACACGTGTGTGTGTGTGCTTCACAACGGCACGTGTGTGTGTGTGCCTCACAGCGGCACATGCGTGTGTGTACTTCACAGCGGCACTTGTGTGTGTGTGTGCTTCACAACGGCACGTGTGTGTGTGTGTGCTTCACAGCGGCACGTGTGTGTTTCACAGCGGCACGTGTGTGTGTGTTTCACAGCGGCACGTGCGTGTGTGCTTCACAACGGCACGTGTGTGTGTGCTTCACAACGGCACGTGTGTGTGTGCTTCACAACGGCACGTGTGTGTGTGCTTCACAGCGGTACGTGTGTGTGTGTGTGTGCTTCACAGCGGCACGTGTGTGTGTGTGCTTCACAGCGGCACTTGTGTGTGTGTGTGCTTCACAGCGGCACGTGTGGGTGTGTGTGCTTCACAGCGGCACGTGTGTGTGTGTGCTTCACAGCGGCACGTGTGTGTTTCACAGCGGCACGTATGTGTGTGCTTCACAGCGGCACGCGTGTGTGGTTCACAGCGGCACGTGCGTGTGTGCTTCACAGCGGGACGTGTGTGCTTCACGGCGGCACGTGTGTGTTTCACAGCGGCACGTGTGTGTGTGCTTCACAGCGGCACGCGTGTGTGCTTCACAGCGGCACGTGCGTGTGTGCTTCACAGCGGCACGTGCGTGTGTGCTTCACAGCGGCACGTGTGTGTGTGCTTCATAGCGGCACGTGCGTGTGTGCTTCACAGCGGCACGTGCGTGTGTGCTTCACAGCGGCACGTGCGTGTGTGCTTCACAGCGGCACGTGTGTGCTTCACAGCGGCACGTGCGTGTGTGCTTCACAACGGCACGTGCGTGTGTGCTTCACAATGGCACCTGCGTGTGTTTCACAGCGGCACGTGTGTGTGTGTGCTTCACAGCGGCACGCGTGTGTGCTTCACAGCGGCACGTGTGTGTGTGCTTCACAGCGGCACGTGTGTGCTTCACAGCGGCACGTGTGCGTGTGTGCTTAACAGCGGCACATGGGTGTGTGCTTCACAGCGGCACGTGTGCGTGTGTGCTTCACAGCGGCACGTGTGTGTGTGTTTCACAGCGGCACGTTTGCGTGTGCTTCACAGCAGCACGTGTGTGTGCGTGCTTCACAGCGGCACGTGTGCGTGTGTGCTTCACAGCGGCACGTGCGTGTGTGCTTCACAGCGGCACGTGTGCGTGTGTGCTTCACAGCGGCACGTGCGTGTGTGTGCTTCACAGCGGCACGTGTGTGTGCTTCACAACGGCACGTGCGTGTGTGTGTTTCACAGCGGCACGTGTGTGTGTGCTTCACAGCGGCACGTGTGCGTGTGTGCTTCACAGCGGCACGTGTGCGTGTGTGCTTCACAGCGGCACGTGTGCGTGTGTGCTTCACAGCGGCACGTGCGTGTGTGCTTCACAGCGGCACGTGTGCGTGTTTGCTTCACAGCGGCACGTGTGCGTGTTTGCTTCACAGCGGCACGTGTGTGTGTGCGTGCGTGCGAGTCGTCACGAGGAGCGTGCGTCGGTTTAAAGCGCCCCTCGCCGAAGACCAAACGCCTCCTCGTCTGTCGTTCCCTTCCGCCGATGTATTCCTCCTCCGCGTCGCTCAGCAATATTGTTGCGTGTTTTGGTCGCGCGCGATTTAAAAAAAAAATATTTCTCGTCGTCGAACTCGCGATCGTGGAGCTCTCGGAGACGCTGCGAGGTGCAACAGCTTGTCACGGGAGCCGAGTCGGCGCGCACGACGCCAAACAGAAACATCGGCGGCCTCGCTCGAGAGTCTCGCCGGGACTTGGGTGTCGGAACCACGCGCAGCTGCGTCGCCTGCCGCGAGCTTCTGTGATGAGCGCGACGCGTTTTCGGGCTCGTACGGCGCGGGGGAGGAGTGGGGGCCGCGTGCCACTTGGTGAGCTGGAACGCCTTGCTCGCTCTTTCACCAAAAAGATTGTTCAGGTTTGCCAACGACAAAACTAAAATCCATGGAAGGGGGGGGGGGGGCGCTTGTGACGCCTTACTAATGCGCATCTAATTTGATGAATAGTCTCAGAATTAGTTGGGTGTAAGTCCGCTTGTGAAGAAAGCCCACGTTCGATTTGAGATTAATCTAACCTCAGGTATAAAGGTGAAATAAATGGTTGCTTTGGGGTGGGAATTAAAACATGCGTTGTCGAACATTTACATTTGACTGTCCCCATCTGTGACACGTACATTTGCCACCCAAAAAGTCAGGGTACGTGGATTAAAAAACATTTTTTATCGTCAAAGTGAACTTCGATTACATCCAATATTTATCTGCACGACGTCCGCAACAACGTCGGGTGGGTGGTGGTGAGAAGGGAGGAGGCCGTTCTCGGGGCCACCTTTGTTGGGATTCCTCGATTTTATTTCGCGGCATCTGTCGGGACGAAGCCCCACGGCGGCCGTGGGCCCCCCGGCTCGCGCCGGGCTCGATCGAGAGGAGACGACAGCGGTCGTGCCGTGGTTTTCGCACCGCTAATTTTACCCCCCCCCGCTCCGAATCCGAGTTCTGCGCGGCCGCATTCCCCCAGCGAGCCCGAGCGCAAGCCGCTCCTAATAGGGGAGTGGGGGGGGCCGCTTTGGTCTCCGGCGCTCGTAAACAAATTCTTGTTTTCGCATCCCGAGCGGACGGCAAGCTGGATAAGCCGTCGGGTATCGCTCGGGAGGAGCGGGTAGAGACCCCGAGCTGATTTAGGGAGCTGGGCGTGTGTGTGGGGGGCGAGTTTTTAGTGTCGGAGAGGGGGGCCCTGGCCGAGCTCAAGGGGTGTCGTGTAAGGCCAAGCGACGGGAGAGCTTTTTGAACGTTCGCGATCGAGGTCCCACACGATCGGGGTCCCACGCGCTCGGGGTGAGTGTTCGAGGCTGCTGGCTCCGTGCGGCCGGGATGGGAAAACTGAACTGCGTTGCAGAGGGGTCCCAGGCTGTGTAGGGAAGATGGGTGGAGGTGGTTGCGATTTGCTACGTGCAAAGTCTGGGAGTTAGAAGCCAATGTCGTCATAATAATACTGGTGAGCATTACAACGGCAACAACAAAATGATCGGCTCGTTTCATGCTGTGGAGGGAATATTTTGCGCGCCGCTACTTCGTCTGAATGTCCCCGTCGTCAACCATTGGAAAATCAAGATGGAAGTTAGAATTGTGCAGAGTGCTGTAAGAAACAAAAGAGAAAAGCACGCTTTGAACTTATTCATATAATTGCCTTATTTTTTTTGTACTTGCGCGGCATCGGTGAAAATTGGGTGGCGAAATTAACCGGGGGCCAAGACGTCGGCGTGCAGCACGCAGACGCGAGGCCAGGAGCCTCACCGCGGGGTCCGCTCACCACGGCACCGCCTCGCAATCTCATCCATGGGCGCACCTTTCTTGAACCCAGTTTATTCCACGGCACTGTGGCCCCTCCAGCTCATCCGCGTCCGCTCACCCTTGAGCCACGTCCAGAAAAACGCCGACAAAGTTTGGTCTCGCTTAGTCGGCCAAAGCCAGAGACTCCTCTCCCGTTTTTTGGCGCGAGATGTCCTTGACCCCCGCGCCGTTCCGACACAAAGTCCGGATGCCTCCAATGGCCCATCCCCCTTGCAAAGCAATTCTGGTCAAAATAAATGTATGAATTGTAGTACTTGAAAAAATATCGCCATTTCATGAATATTATTTTCTAAAGTATGATTTCTCAGAGCAGTAAAGCACCGTGCGCTGTAATTGAATAGCTAAGTGGCAATTACGCTCTGTTTATCATTTGAAGTCGTTCTTGCGAACTTTGAAACAAGCAATCATCCCCGCAGGGAAGCGATAGTTAAAACGTAATCTGTGTGTTCTGCTCCATTTGGTATTTACCGCATCAATCTCACAGCTCGCATTGATGAACGCGTTCAGAAAGAAAATAAGAAAAAAAACTGTAAATGTTTAGATTTATTTTTGGGAGGATGTGTTTCTCGTGAGAGAAACAAAACCCAGAGCACCGTTCAAAATTTTGAAACTGCACTAAAAAGAAAACCCAGTTACTATTCTAGAATAAACACTTTGTTAGAGATTTTTTTGGCTCAGATCGCCACGTGAGAAAAAATGTACAACGTATATCGGTGCACCCCCCTCCACCCTACGCAGCCAAGCAAGTAGAACACATGCGGTAAAACATTTTGTTTTGTTTACAGCATATAAATCAACAATAACATTGGCCAACTTGCGTCTCCATTGTTGTCCTCATCCCGTAGCTCCGGTTAACACGATTGGCTACGTACGGTGTGAAAGAAGTTCAACATTCATACATACTGCCCATAGCCTCAACACTGCCCATAGCCTCAACACTGCCCATAGCCTCAACACTGCCCATAGACTAACACTGCCCATAGCCTCAACACTGCCCATAGACGAACACTGCCCATAGCCTCAACACTGCCCATAGACTAACACTGCCCATAGCCTCAACACTGCCCATAGCCTCAACACTGCCCATAGACGAACACTGCCCATAGACTAACACTGCCCATAGCCTCAACACTGCCCATAGCCTCAACACTGCCCATAGACGAACACTGCCCATAGCCTCAACACTGCCCATAGACTAACACTGCCCATAGCCTCAACACTGTCCATAGACTAACACTGCCCATAGCCTCAACACTGCCCATAGCCTCAACACTGCCCATAGACTAACACTACCCATAGCCTCAACACTGCCCATAGACTAACACTGCCCATAGACTAACACTGCCCATAGACCCTACACTGCCCATAGCCTCAACACTGCCCACTTCGAGATCCTTGCACACGAGCCCCGTGTTGCTCACGCGGTCGGTTCATCGCCACTTTTGCCCGCGGCTGACGTTACGATGCACAACTTTGATTTCCCACCCAATTAGCTCGATTTTGAGATTCCTGCGACGATGATTCCCAGCTGAGCGTGCCCATCGTAGAGCCCTCTCTGTGTTTTAAAAAAAAAACTGCACGGTTCAACGTAGCCGCCGTTTAATTAGCCGCGCGTTTTTATTCCGCGACCCTGTCTCGTTTAGATGATCGTCACCTACCACAGCCGCCTCGATTAACCCAAATGTTTTCAGTTTCCAAGAACAAAAAGTAAAAATAATGAAAGTGAATCTTTTGACGGTCCTCGTCTTCTATGGGAATAAATCTCGTCCTGAAAATGGCGCCTAAACTCCCGGTCACGCCATATGTTGCTGCTGCTGTTGCTGCAACCATCCAACCGAGAACAGCACCACCACTAAGCAGGCTGCCCTCGTTTGAACAGTCACGCGTCCGTCGGTTACAAAGCCTCGAAAATTTGTGTTTATTCTCAAAACACAGATCCATATACACATATCAAGTATACGCAACCCGTTACTTTTACACCGTCGACAATGGCTGAACTACACTGCCAAAGACATTACGGGACGTACGATGTGGGAGTTGTGTTCCTTGTACCAACGGTGCTCGCCGCCGTCACCGCTTTTAGAGTGCCGTTTGATTCCCTTTGAAACGTTCGCGTCGTTCGCACGCACATGGCTGCTCTGGGCTTCATCGGGGGAGGGGGCTGCTCCTCACGCCGACGTGCCCACCGAGCACCGCCGTGGTGCATTGTAGTTGCATTGCATGCGCCGCCAGCATCAGAGGTGCAATGCACTTGCAGTGCAGTACGGAGGCGTTCACGGATGGGGGTGGCTCACAGAGACGGCGCCCAGCTCGTAAGACGGCGGCTCGCCACGCGCGCCACTCAACGACCGGTGTCCTTCGTCTGACCGTCCTCGTGGTTCACCCTCCTCGTCGCGCACCGCGCAGAAGGCACCTGGGGATGTAGCGTCGACAAAGAGACGACTTCCGCGTGTCACATCAACCGCTAGCATCGGTCAAAAGTGTTTTTGTTGTTGTTGCTGTTGAGAATTCTTCTTTCGTATGGCTCTGTGAAATTTGCGACATTCTATATATATATGCGTGTGCGCGCGTGTGTTGAGGTTATTCAGTCGTTCGATAGCCTTTGCGGTGGCTTGTGGGGAGCAAGATGGCAACGTTCACGCGGGGCTCCTGGAAGTGTCTCTCTCGATCTGAGCAACGCAGAGTGCGACAATACAAAGCGTCCGTCGCCACCTGGCTACGGCACGTCGACCCGACGTCGTGCGTTCGGTAAGAATAACAACGCTGCAGGCTCGGCAAAGGAGACGAGCGGACGTAGGGGGGATACGTCCAAACAGTGGTCCCGTACAGATGAAGTAAAAACCTATCTATCCCCTAACTGAGAGTTATACTGCTCTAATTAAGTTGTGTTTGCAGGGACACGTGCACAGGAGTTGCAAGATTCACCATCGGTTGATGTGCACGGGTAAACTTGACGATACGCGTGCATGGCATCGTGCGGGAATGTTTTTCGATTTGTATTTGTGGTATAGGTGGCCTACTCGGTTCGCGTGACCTTTAGTAGCCATTGCAGGCTGCTACATAGGACAGTTACTAAAAGAAGGCAATTCATCCTTGAATTGAACCGTGATAATGGAATCGTAAGAAGTGGAATCATCACACTCCTGCTCATAAAAAAATAATATGCACATCGCAGTATGTACACTCGCGCTGCTTGCAATGTAATTTAGTTTTCATTCGTCGCACGTACAATGATGACGATGCACAACTACACACTTCAAGTTGTCTGTGCGAGTGGCGTTCAAATAAAGTCGCGTTTTAAAACGTTATTGGGTTGTGTGACGTTTTTAAATGCCTGTAAAAAAAATCATCAACATCTATCGCTGCGGTCCGAGTGAGCCCTGGGACGCCTCACGAGGTACAGTGCAATGAGGGGACCAGGCCACGACATTCTTGAGACTTTTTTTGTAAATTCCATTCTCAAGAATTAGAATAACCTTGAGCAGAACATTTTCTCCTAAAGGTGGAACCAGGACACGGCCTTGCGGGATGAAGTGGGGCGGTGGCACGGCCCGGCGTTCCCCGCTCGTTGTGAGGACATTCACGATTGGTAACCGGCGGCTGCCCCGATTAATACTGCGGGTGTAGTGGTAACAGCACCACGCGCCGCCTGCTTCACAGTGGCCTGACGTCACTTGCAAGAGGAGGCCATTCTGTGCCGGGGTCATGGTCCAAATTTAAAAGTTACCCGCAGGTCACTCCATTGAGTTCGTACGTAGGAATCGTCGCCTCCCAACTATCAGATTAATGCCTCCAAGTCACTCTTGCAAATGAAACTTGAAATAATCTTCGCACGTACGTTGAACATCTTTTGCACCGTACGCAGCTAGCCGTGCTAATCGGAGGTGCGGGGGAAGGACAACAAACTAACGCACACACAATGAAATGTGGGAGTATAAAGTGCCTACGAAGACCCATCTCAAGACGCTCTATCACAGAGGGACGCGTGCGTGTCGAGGTTATTTTTTAGACCGGGGGTGGGGGTGGAGGGGGCACTGCGGGGCAGGAGGCCACAGGGCAGAGAGGTTAAAAAAAAACGACCGACGGAGTGGCGAGAGCAACGCCACGTCGCGGGGGTCCGCTCACCCCACGCTCGGGCCGGAACGCAATCCCTTACCCGTGAAGTAATAATCACAGCTGAGCAGGGGACACTTCTGGCTTTGGAGGGCGTAATCGTAGCAGAGCCGCACGCTCTTCGGTCGGTTTAAAGAGCCGAACCCGACACCCAATTCCCGTAGGGTGAGGCCCGGAGAATCCTCCAGCGGCACGAGCTCGGGGCCGCGGGGGGCCTCTGTGGCGGCGACGTGGTCCCGCGGCTCGCGGGCCGAGGGGCGATCATCCGGGCGGTAGAGGCGCACGGCGGTGCTGGGGGTGTGGGCGAGGGCGCGCAGGGAGCGCGCCAGCCCGTGCAGCGTGGTGCCGGTGCCCGCCAGCACCTTCACGTGGCCCGGGTGGGACGCGGCGCCGTCAAACGGCACCAGCCGCACCTCCAGCTCCACGAACCTTCGGGCACACGGAGAGACGCCGTCAGGAGCGCCGCTTTCGGAATACGCGGCAAAGGTGCAGCCCTGAAATTTCCTTGCTACAGCCACTGCTGCCAGGAGGGCCTCCAATATAGACAGTCCCTATATTGATGTCGTATGTACTTGTGGCTACATGTATGTACTTGTGTCTACATGTATGTACTTGTGGTATCTGCATGTCGTGTGTACATGTGTCTACATGTATGTACTTGTGGTATCTGCATGTCGTATGTACATGTGTCTACATGTATGTACTTCTGTCTACATGTATATACTTGTGGTATCTGCATGTCGTATGTACATGTGTCTACATGTATGTACTTGTGGTATCTGCATGTCGTATGTACATGTGTCTACATGTATGTACTTCTGTCTACATGTATATACTTGTGGTATCTGCATGGCGTATGTACATGTGTCTACATGTATGTACTTGTGGTATCTGCATGTCGTATGTACATGTGTCTACATGTATGTACATGTGTCTACATGTATGCAAATGTGTCTACATGTATGTACATGTGGTATCTGCATCTCGTATCTCGCCATTTGTTGTCCTTCCCCCGCACCTCCGATAAGCATGGTAGGCTACGTACGATGCAAAAGAAGTTCCACACACACATACATACACACATACGCACACACACACATATACACACACATACACACATATACATACACACACACATAGACACACATACACACACATATACATACACATACACTCACATATACATACATACACACACATATACATACACACATACATACATATACATACACACATATACAACAACAACCGCCATTCGCCACTAAGTGGCGGTGACGTCACCACGACGCTTGTGCCAGGCTATGTGCACCCTGAGGCCACGTGAAGTGTCGAACGCCCGCTGGCAGGAGGTCACGGGGCAGACCCAGGTGCCACGGGTCGACTGACTGAGATGACTGGCTGATGCACCACCTGTGCCCCCTACTGTGCCAACCTGCTGTGCTTTAGCCACCCGGCGCTCCGCTCGCTGTTGTGAGCGTCGCTCCTCCGCCCTCCGTTGTTGTTGGAGGGCGACTGCCTATATATACATATATATACATATATACATACACACACATATATACATACACACACATATATACATACACACATATATACATACACATACATACACATACACACATATACATACACACATATACATACACACATATACATACACATATATACATACACACACATATATACATACACACATACATACACATATACATACACACATATACATACACACATATACATACACACATATACATACACATACACACATATATACATACACACACATATACATACACACATATACATACACATACACACATATATACATACACACACATATACATACACACACATATATACATACACACATACATACAACGGTGTCTCGCTGTCATATTTACCTGTCGTCCTCAACCTGACGAGGCTTCCAAACCCCCATTTTGCAATGCGGACACCGGTCCAACGTTTCCTTGGTGACCGTCAGCCGGTGGCCGTCCGTTTGTCCTTCCTTGTCAGTCTCATCATCATCCTCCTCATCATCATCATCCTCCTCCTCCGCTCGCTCGCTCTCTGCCCGCTCCATCCAGCCGTGCTTCTCACCGTCACGCGGTTCTGGAACCCTGGCCACAAGTCAAGGGGACCGTCACGTGAAGCGAGAGAAATGTCCACGGTGAAGAGCCCCGTGGGAAATGAAAACACGACACGGGATCTGTGCGTGAACGCCACTCATCGTGTGTACGCACGTTGAACTTCTTTCGCTCGATACGTAGCCGACCATGCTAATTGGAGGTGCGGGGGACGGGCAACAAACTAAACGTCATCGCGCGGCGCTTTCAGATGCACTTCAGCGGCCGTCTGGAACGCTCTTCCTTCCGATATTAGGAAGCCACCAGACCTATACACTTTTAAATTATCTAGATTCAAACTAATTTATTTAAAAATGCGTTTTGTGTATACAGTAGTTCGTTGTCCTACGTATGGTGCGAAAGAAGTTCAACATACATCAAGTTGATGCATTCCGTCATCGGTTGAAGATGACAATGAACCTGGTCAAATGGCAAATGAACAGACACACACACACAGGATGTCAACCGGCATGCAGTGCGCAGGGGGGGACGCGGGGGGTGACCGCGGGCGATGGCAAGCGGGGGGGAGACGCGGGGGGGGGGGCGCGGGGGGGGGGGACGCGGGGAAGGGGACGCGGGGGGGGGGGGACGACGCGGGTCGTTACCCGGGGACGTGGAGCCCCGCGCCCAGCGAGCGGTAGTCCACCGAGCCCGTCGAGTCCGGGTCCAGCAGCTTGGTGAGGACGTGGAGCCGGACCGAGTCGCACGGAGCGCCAAAGTTCCGCAGCGCTGCGCCAGCCACCGCCGCCCGTCACCCAAAATAAAAACAAACGGACAGTTGGTCATGGAGGCCTCATTGCAGTGCTTGGCGAATGCCAGTTTGTATCTCTGTATCTATTGCAACGGTGTGAACAGCTGAAGCTGGATCGCCGCAATGAACCCGACGCATTTGGTAAATTTCAACGTGGCACCGAAAGTGCCTGGCCCACGCGCCAGCGTAGACGGCTGGTGACAAGAGACCTCTACGAGGAGGGGATCTTCTACCTGAAGACCTTCGAGTCAAGGTCACGGACATCAACGTCACAGCCTTCGAGCAAACCGGGCGTCTTCGCCGGCGGCACGGAAAGCCCCGGCCGCAGGCGTCGACTCACGAACGGGAGAGGGCGAAGTCGCGCGGACAAACCCCTCACCGAGTTTGAGGTCGGCGTGCGACACGGCGCCACCCTCCGCTCCGTCGTCTATCTTGCGCAAAGCTCGTGCGACGAGGGGCCCGTTCCTCCGCAGCCAGTGGTCAGCGGAGAGGAGGAACTCGCGGTAGCTGTCCGGTTGCCGCTCAAACGCCTCGCAGGATTTCTCCAGCCCGGCCTGCCACGGCAACATCGGGAGCGGCATGATGCGATCCGACGCTGGGGCAACGCGGCCGCCCGGTAGACGCATCAACATCGCCCCCCACCCTCCGACGTTGGCCCAACGTCCCGTGTTTACTGGGTGCGCGGGTTGGTGCTGAAGCACATCAACACTCGGCCTGCCCGAGACTGCATCAAAATGCGACCACCAAACCCCAAGGCCAGCAACTGCTATTTAAGACACCGTACATGACCTCAGTGTTTCCGTCATTGCAGACAATGTCAGAGTGTTAGATGCCCCTGTGATAGAATGCTACTCGTAAATATAAAATAGTACATTCCATGGCATACATTTACATAAATAATCTACCATGTGCAAAACTTACCACGAGTGATAAATACGATCACAGTAAAAACCTTACGAAGCCAGACTAAGTGGGCAGGGTGTGAGCCTCTCCAGAAATGTGGACTGCCTAGCTTACTGCACACAAGTAAAATGATTGCTAAATAAGCAGATTTGCATTTACCCAAGTTTAGAAGATTTTCAGCAGGACAGCAGATTCTAAGTGGGTGGCTGTTGGTTTATTTGTAAGTTGTGCTCTGGAATTGCTGACACTGAAGCAATGGAATTGTCCTGCCGTCGGAAAAAAAAACATGCAATATAAGTTTCACACTCGATGTTAGAACCCCCCTCCCCGAATTCTGGCAGTGGTGCCTGTGCACAGCTGTAATCCAGCATAGTAGAGGGAACCAGGGTTGATGGATCACACAAATGTACGTGGAGCTACGGCATGGAGGTTGCCGTACCCAGGCTCGCCAGCGGAAGGCGGTACAACAAGTGGACTAGTGCCACGTGTCCCTTCTCTGTGGGATAGAGTGTTGCCCCCTCGCACGTGTGGGCTCTCTCCGGGCGCTCCGGTTTCCTTCCACGCGTCTAAACACCCATTAATTGGCTGAAAATATCTTTGTAGAGGAGGACGACAGAGCTTGGGTAATCATCGGTAGCGGCGGCACACCACGGGGGCAGCTGCCTTCCACCTTCGTGTGCGGTGTCATCCACCGCCCTCCGAGTCGTCCTCTCTCGTCTCTCCGAGAGCGACCGAGCACTGCGCAAGTCCAAATGATCCTAAACACTGTTGTTATTATCGTTGTCGAAACGACCTCGTCCACTCCTACCAGAGCTCTCTCCGACTTGGTGAGCTTCACTTTGCCTTTCCTCGACCTCTTCTTCGTCTTCTTCGTGCCCTTGCCGGACCCCTCGGGCCGGGCATCGTCAGGGGCGGGCTCCGGGCGGTCGGACGCCACCTCGCCGTCCGGAGCTCCGGTCGGCGAGCTGGACGCGACAGGGGGGGGGGAGGTGGGGGGGTGGCGACGTTCGTTCATCGAGCACTAAAGCACGGCAAAGCAGCCGCCCTTATCAGGTGTGTGGCGGCGTGCAACTCGTCAAGTGTGGCACTCGTAGAGACGTTGCGTGTGCTCGTGCGCACGGTGGCAATAGGTGACCATGGCGCTGAATGCCAACGTGGAGGTCTCCTGCTGCTGCTGCTGCTGGCCACGGCGAGAGAGGGCTTCAGCAGAGAGGGGGAGGGCGCTTGGTGTCTCTCCGCCGTGCCTCCTGCTGCTGCTGCTGCCCCGTTGAAGGGTCGCAGGCGACCACACTTGGGGTTGACTCGGCGGCCCCACGGGGTGTTGGGGGGTTGCATGGTCACAGTCGCGGCGCTCTGGGTTGTCTTTGACCTTCAGTCTGGGAGGGTGCATTCTCAAGCAGGGGACCGCAAGTTGATGTGACGCTGCTGCTGCGCTGAGTGCATTGTGCCGCATGCCTACAAGACCGCAGTCTTCCCACACAGTGCGCTGTGGCCAGCAACGTTTTGTTATTGTACTCTGAATTTAAATGTTTATTCTGGACTAACACTTTTTTTTATTCTTGAAGGTGTTGTTTGTTACTCGGTATTTACAATGACTGTGACTATATACCGGCCAATTAAAAAAAGATAACATTTACAAACGCTATGGAGAAGGACCAGTACCCGAAACGTCACCGATTGTACATGTTGTGCTTTTGAGGTCACGGCCTTGTTGCTATGGACGATCGTGTGGACTGGTCGCCGATGATCGTGCCCGGAGCCACAACAACTGCGAATGTCGCAGCGACATCATTCGTTTGAACATCTCCGTGCCGACGGGCAGTCCATTTGGGAACGTGCATCTCTCTTCGGCGCGAGACGTGTGAGCCACACGCAACAGCAGAAAAAAGACACGTTCGGAAAAGTCCACGTGGGAGTGTGGTGCGTTCGTGTACAGTACTGCGTGGGGAGCGGTGGCGCAGTGGTTAGCGCAACTTCGCTACGAATCAGAAGACCCGAAATTCGCGATTCTCGCTGAACGGCCAACACCGGTGACGTTAATTATTTGAACCGGTCCTGGGCCTCCCCCTCGGTCGACTCAGCCCTCAAACGAGTACCTGGTGCGACGCGTAAACATCGCCACGAGGGATCTCGTGGCGATGTTTACGCCCACACCACCCCTCGCTGACGCCACTTTACCCGACAGCCTGTGTAGGCTACACGGGGGATCTTTGTCTCTGCGTGTCTCTTTATCGGTGTCGGTGTGCGTGTATTCGTGGACAAAGAGTGGTGGGGATGGTAGTTGGGTGTGTGGACACTATTTTTAGTGCTTGGGGAGGGAGGCTTTGTAACTTCAGTGGGGGGCAGAGTGAATCTATGGGAGGGGTGGCTTTGTAACTTCAGTGGGGGGCAGAGTGAATCTATGGGAGGGGTGGCTTTGTAACTTCAGTGGGGGGCAGAGTTAATCTATGGGAGGGGTGGCGGGTTGAGGCGAGGGCAGCAAAGGAGCGTTTACAGAGAATGACAACCACGACACTTTACAGGCGAGTCTCAAGTGATGTACTAAAATAAACTACACCACCACCAGCACCGCCACCACTGGTACCGTGTGCGTCTTAACGCGCGAGTGGACCACTCACTTCCACCGCCTCTCACCCAGGCAGCGAATCGAGCCGCTGCTGCCGCTGCTGTATTGGTAACCGAATTCTTCGACGTGAACGGGTTGATCCCTGCTTTTAATTACATTCGGGTAATTAGCTCAAACAAGCCCAGGTCATAACGCGAATCTCTCCCAGGGTTCACATCGGGCGTCTGTTAGAGCATCTCCAGCCAGGGAGAGGGGTTTCTCCTGGTTCAAGTAAGAGACATTCATTGTAACGCGGTAGTTTGTAGTAAACCACCGCATTACATCAATGACACAATAGGGCAGCAAAGGATAATACACATCGTCCACGGGTATGCAGGAATTCCATCAAGAACTGTGATCCAGGGTTAGGGTTATTACTGCCGTACAAACTAGAGACGTACGGACGAATTGTCAGGATTGATCAACAGCGTCGACAAGCAGACAATGCGTTTCCCTCCATCGCTGCGTCCGTCTCTCCACACAAACAAATGTAAAGTATTGTGTTTTACACAAGCAATGGGGCCCTACCGATTTCTGGGAGTACATCATTCCAGCAGCGTTCACGATCGCTGAACAAAAATAGATCCGCGGTTCCGTTTTCAAGTGCGAGTTCGCGTTTTAAGTCGATGTCAGAAATAAATATTTCATGGCAGCTGGTTCGCTGTGAACCCGTACGGTTTACCCCGTTTTCTTGTGCAGGGACATTGAGTTTTCAGGTTCCACACGGCGTACAGCCGTTTCACTATGGGCTAACAACAAAACAAGTGTCTATTTGTCTGTGTTTACTCCCTTGCGATGGGACTTTGTAGGATGAACGTTGAGATTTATAAGGGGCACGGGGTGACCAATGATGTCTGAATTGTTCTGTAATGAGGTAGGGGGCGCTGATAAGTGGTTGACAGGAAGGGGTCGTGTGGGTGTTTGTAAGTCGATGTGTGTACACGCAAATGCACGGTGTCTCTTCAGAATCAATTGCTGGTGAACTGCCAGATGTCACCAGCATGATTTGATTACAAAATATATAACTACATACCATTTTGTCTTGTACTGACTCGTTTTTTTATAGTCTGGTTTGTCCGAAGTGGTTACGACTGTACGGTCCGGTCTCCACGGTTTAGTATAATTCTACCGGCTCGTTAGTCGAATTTTGTTTGTAACTTACAGATTGTCTGACTCGTCCGAGAGAGAAAAAAAAACAGGCTGCTCCTACACACGTGTACGAGAGTGGTTAGAATCAACGTGAATCGATCAATAATTAACGTGAGGAGCCCGTTACTTCGACAGAACTAGACGAACGATCAAACAATGGCAATCTTTAAAAAATGAACAAATGTAGAGCACGCAGCGGCCAGCGGATGGCGTGCGACAGACTCCACGTGGCGACGGGAGGGAAGTGAATTTGAATATTCACGCGCGTGACAAAGATCCTCCGTGTAGTCCGAACAGACTGTTTGGAGCAAGCGCTGCTGTTAGCGAGTAACCCCTCTGAAGGTCGTCACGGCACACAAGAGGGTTGGTGGGTGGTCAGCACCACGCCCGGCTGCCGTTACCTCCCCAGTTGCGATGTTACTAAGTTGAGGCTAAGTCGACCTAGGAGAGGCCCAGCCAGGACCGGTTCAGATAATCGTCACTGGTGTTGGTGGTGGCCGTGAGCAGGAATCGAACTGGGGGTCGCCTGGTTCGTAGCGCAGCGTAGCGCTAACCGCTGCGCCACCGCTCCCCCTCCATGTTCACGCGCGCGAGGAGCGTGCTGGGAGGGCCTCGCGTCGCGGTTTGAGTGACAGCGCGATCGGCACGCAACAACACAACAGCAACACAACAACACAACAGCAACACAACAGCAATACAACAACACAACAGCAACACAACAGCAATGCAACAGCAACATAACAGTGGCGCAACATGGATGCGGCTGAATATGCACGTAGCGTTCCGACCCCGTGTCCCGACTGGACACCTGTGAAGACGAAGAGCTTTGTGGCTCATCGGATTCCACCTGCAGTCTAATTGAATGTTCTGATTCTGCATAGTAGGCACGTAGAAAATGACCGGTGTGCTCTGAAGAAGGCTCATTTCTCGAATCGTCGCCTATTTTTTGTTGTTTAAAAAATAAATCCCTTTCATTGTTCACGGAGTCATCGACGCATGTGTTCATAAATTCTGCTCATCACGCGCGCCACTGCCACCAACAGCATTGTCGATAAACAACAACAATCCACGTGTCCTGTCACACAGCTCACTGTTCACGTACGCTGCCAACATCGCTGGCTGGTGAAGTTTATTTCGCTTTAACCCCGGCTGAGAACTCACGAGGTGCAGGATGACATTCGTTCGCACGAGTGACCTGGGAGGGATGCGTTATTTTTTTGCCCTCTATAATCCACAAACTGAGTGACAACTTGGGGTGGTGTACTATTCAAATTGGGAATACAAAATTAATACACATTTGGAGCTTGCCACCGGCACGCCATGGTGCCTACTCTCGCTCACGACGCGCGAGGGTCTTTAACGTCTCCACTGCGAGTTAGGCGGGCTGCCCGTGATACAGTGCGTATTATCAAGGATCTTATTACACCCGCACGGATAGGCGAGTGCGGCCGCTGGATTCGAACCGTGCACGTCTGCGACAGGCGGCGAACACAAATTCATAATCAGAATATTTCGTTGTACTGGAGGAATCCGATGAGCCATGAAGCTCTTTTTCACAGATGTCCGGTAAACGTAAACACCACGCGCGCCTACGTGACCGTGCGTGCGTTGCCCGGCTAAACACAAAATCACGAAGTGTAACGAGGGTGGCAGTACAACACTCGCCGTTTCTTCTTGATCGCCTTCTTGTGCCCGCTCTTCTTCATCGTCTTGGGAGCCATGCCGCAGCCTCCTGCTCGCCGTCTCCTGCTCGCCGTCTCCACGGCGACAGGCAAACACGGCCCGCTGCGGCGTGGACGCGACCTCCCGTGTCCTCGCGAGCCCCACGAGCCGCTGCGTGAACGGTCGCCCACGTGGAAGAGCGCGGCCAACAAAGCTGAGCGCAGTAAAAGCCGCGCCACTCTGCTGGCTTGAACGTTTCAACGATTCTGGAGGGCGTCTGCTGATGTTCTAAAGCGGTGGTTCTTAGCCTCTACCGTAGCCTTGCACCCCCTTGGGTTATCGATAGTAAAACAATATGTTAATAACTACACAGGGGGTTGACGCAACAGAGTAAGTTGTACTTACGTGCCCGCGCCTAATTTGTGTTTTTGATTATTTAGCTTCTGAAACAAATCGGCCCATGTCTCGCACGCCCAGTGGATGCGTGCACCCCAAGTCCAGAAGCACTGCTCTTCAAGTGTGTCCCTGCATGTTACGCAACGGACGACGTGAGTTATGCTACTCTGGTGTGCGTGTATGATGCACTATCGCGTCTCCAAAATCAGCACCGGAGCAGAGCCCCCAAAGCCGACAACCTCCATGGAGCCCGTCTTCATCATCATCATCGCAGCGCTCCACGTGTTGTGTGCATTACGTCACCACTTAGCAACCGCGCATTGATTCCGCACACACACACACAAACACGCTGAAAGGACGTCGTTCAAGGGACGTATTTGCTCTGTTCAAGCTTCTGAAATCAACATTGGGCATCATGGCGTGGCAGCAAAGGTGGCAATTGTTGGCCAAATATCCCAATGCGGGAATCTCCTAGAAATACAAAAAAACTGAGCAGAAACTCAGCGAGTGAGACTTTCCAGGGTTGAGCATTATTAATTGAGTTGTGTGCGCCAATACAATGGGGATCAGGGGTTCATTTCAGACGGAGCAGGCCAGGGTTGAGCTCCAGAAAAAACCCACCCCCCTCTGCGCTATCGGTGGAGGGGTTAAACAAACATCCTGTGAGAAATAAAGCAGCCCTAGTGGAGACCGTGCAGGCGAAATTTCACCAGACGACCAATCCGTTTTTTTTACCAACTCAGAATCAGTATTCACACTGCAGGAGAAATCCGATGAGCTATAAAGCTCTTTTTCACAGGTGTCCAGTGGGAGCAGGTTAGAATAATCCAACAAACAATACAAAAAACACTCGATTTAAAGCTTTCGTGACTGCAAGGATTCATCTTCTTTGGTTCTTTCGGTAAAGTCACGTAGAATGAGAATAAAATAATAAATTGATTAAATAAAATAACACAATAAAATTCTCACGACGTTTCGGCCACAACACAATGCGGCCTTCATCAGGTGAAGGGACGAGACTGTCTGGAGGACAGCGCTGGAGCCGCTTGTGTTGTGGCCGAAACGTCGTGAGAATTTTATTGTGTTATTTTATCAATTATTTTATTCTCATTCTACGTGACTTTACCGAAAGAACCAAAGAAGAATACAAAAACACGATAAGAGTGCAAAGTACGGTACAGTATATGAAAGGTAAACAAATCACAAGAACAATTGTGTACTGCCGAGATAGATAATGATGCTGAGACGGCCCTAGGTAGGATGTGTTCTGTAGACGTTATACATTTGGACGACCGTGCTACGTGAAAGCAGTCAAACCACGTGGTGGGTGGTGCAGTGGGCACAGTGGTTAGCACACCCACGAACCTCTGCGACTCGGTTCGACTCCTGGCCACGGCTGTCATCAGTAGTAGCGACTTACGCCTCAACCCGACCCTGCGTGCCCACTACACCAATCGGTTCGAAGCGGCGTGGTCAAGAGTGGTCAAGCAGCACCCTCCACGGCTGCTGACACAGCATGGGGGAGCTCTTCATCCAGCAGGAGGGCACTTCGCAAAGGGGCTTCTCAACTGTTAGCGTGAATTGTTATCGTTCGGCAATTATGGCTTTTCTATTCCACGCACCATATTCGAACAGCACTTTGCATTGTTCGGTCACGAGGACATACTGCACAGAGTAACGCTGCCCGTGGCTGTACGTAGTTACATTCGCTGGCTACGACAACCCACGTGACAGCACGAATGGCATTGTTTTACCCGTTCTACGAAGTACGCACTGCCTCTTAGAACACACTCCAAAGACAAAGATCCCCCGTGTAGCCTCTTAACAGACTGTTGGGGCAAGCGCTGTGAACGAGCAGAACCTATGAAGGCCGATTGGCTGTGGTGGCCAACACCACGCCCGACAACAACAACAACCGCCATTCACACATAGACACACACACACTGATGCACACAGACACACACACAGACACACACACTGATGCACACACACACAGACACACTGATGCACACACACACAGACACAGCAACAACCGCCATTCGCCACTAAGTGGCGGTGACGTCACCACGACGCTTGTGCCAGGCTATGTGCACCCTGAGGCCACGTGAAGTGTCGAACGCCCGCTGGCAGGAGGTCACGGGGCAGACCCAGCAGGTGCCACGGGTCGACTGACTGAGATGACTGAGATGACTGGCTGATGCACCACCTGTGCCCCCTACTGTGCCAACCCGCTGTGCTTCAGCCACCCGGCGCTCCGCTCGTTGTTGTGAGCGTCGCTCCTCCGCCCTCCGTTGTTGTTAAGCAAACGGGCGTGTGTTGGGGGTCTTCATTAAGTATTGATTACATTCTACTGTTTCCTTTCGTCGACTCGCGTCCGCCGCTCTCCTCTTGGGCCACACGAGACGCGAGCTCGCGAGAGGGGCAGCAGTGCGAGCCAGGGGGCTCCCTACGGGGAGCGACTCCGCGTGTCGTCTTGATGGAGGGGCAGAGTCGGCGTGGGGGCTTTGCCGCCTCGCCGGTGACGGACAGGCGGGCCACCCGGACCGCTACAGACCTCGTGGTGAGCCGCGAGAGAGATGGAGGAGCGGCCCCGTGGAGTTTGGCGTCGTTCTTCTCGCGTGTGGCACGCGGTGCGTTCTCGTGTTCGGACTGATGCTCGGACTGCACGTTCGCTTTACGGATTAACTTGATAAAAAAAACGTCGTTGCTTTTTGTAAACTTAAAATACCGTTGCTGTAATTAGAGTTGAAGGCATTACTAATGCCGATTGTTTCCGTAAGATGTCAACAACTGCACAGCTGTGAGACGATGCGAATCTTCAGCTTCGTGCAATGAGTAGCGGCGAGCGGTGCTGTCCACTGGGCTACTCCATCACTCGGCTTGACACTTCGGTGGAACAGTGTGGTTTCTTGGGGGCAGTGTATTCGACAGCGGAGCCGATAAACACTCCAGCAGAGAAAACAGTGGACGAGCGTCCGTGAAGACGACGACGATGTACGGCCGGGCCCACGAGTGGCCGTCTCCGCCGTCCTGCGAGGGTGAACTCGACGAGGGGCAGGGCCTTGCCCGGCTCCCCGGTGCGGCCGCCGTGGCCGCGTGCCCTCAGCTCGAGGCGAGGAGGAGGGGGAGGCGCTGCGGGTGCCCGGAGGCGCGCGCCGTGGGCAGGCGGCCCTCGCTCCCCCGCGGGGCGGACGAGGGCCGCAAGTCGACGCCGACGCGGGAGCCGGACAGGTGAGTGGGGTCAGACCGGTGAGTGGGGTCACTCTGGTGAGTGTGGTCACTCCGGTGAGTGGGGTCAGACCGGTGAGTGGGGTCACTCCGGTGAGTGGGGTCAGACCGGTGAGTGGGGTCACTCCGGTGAGTGGGGTCAGACCGGTGAGTGGGGTCACTCCGGTGAGTGGGGTCACTCCGGTGAGTGGGGTCAACTCCGGTGAGTGGGGTCACTCTGGTGAGTGGGGTCACTACGGTGAGTGGGGTCAGACCGGTGAGTGGGGTCACTCCGGTGAGTGGGGTCACTCTGGTGAGTGGGGTCACTCCGGTGAGTGGTGGGGTCACTCCGGTGAGTGGGGTCACTCTGGTGAGTGGGGTCACTCCGGTGAGTGGGGTCAGACCGGTGAGTGGGGTCACTCCGGTGAGTGGGATCACTCCGGTGAGTGGGGTCACTCTGGTGAGTGGGGTCAACTCCGGTGAGTGGGGTCACTCTGGTGAGTGGGGTCACTACGGTGAGTGGGGTCAGACCGGTGAGTGGGGTCAATCCGGTGAGTGGGGTCACTCCGGTGAGTGGTGGGGTCACTGCGGTGAGTGGTGGGGTCACTCCGGTGAGTGGGGTCACTCCGGTGAGTGGGGTCACTCCGGTGAGTGGTGGGGTCACTCCGGTGAGTGGGGTCAGACCGGTGAGTGGGGTCACTCCGGTGAGTGGGGTCAGACCGGTGAGTGGGGTCACTCTAGTGAGCGGGGTCACTCCGGTGAGTGGGGCCACTCACATGAGTGGGGTCACTCTGGTAAGTGGGGTCACTCCGGTGAGTAGGGTCACTTCGGTGAGTGGGGTCACTCCGGTGAGTGGGGTCAGACCGGTGAGTGGGGTCACTCTGGTGAGTGGTGTCACTCTGGTGAGTGGGGTCACTCCGGTGAGTGGTGTCACTCCGGTGAGTGGGGTCACTCCGGTGAGTGGGGTCACTCCAAGAGGTCCGTTCCCCTAGGATATGGCGAATACCTTTTTTGAAAATGAATTTCTTTTGAACGGATTTTTTTCTTGGGTACGTGTTTCGTTTGTTGTCCCACCCCACCCCCTCCTCCGGCACCTCCAATTAGCACGGTTGGCTACGTACGGTGCGAAAGAAGTTCAACATACTGTACATACATACAATCGCGGCGACCGCCTCGGGCCCCGCGCGTGGGGGGGCGGGAGGGCTCCCGCAGATGTAATACTTCACGTGTGATCTTACCCGGGCCCCACACCCCCCCCCCCCCCTATGGAGAGCTCTGGAAGTAAATTTCTGATTTCCTGAGCCGCCACTCGTTTTTCTTATTGCAGTCGTAGTCTCTGTAGCCTGCTACGACGATGACAGCAGCCACAAGCTGTGCAATGTGAGTGGAGTCTGTGGGTTTCGTGTCGCAAGTCGGCTAACGCTGTCAAGCAGTGAGCGCGAGACTCGTCTATTTAATGTTGGTGTGAGGAACAATTCCCCCACACCAATACTCTCAGGGCAGCTAATCAATGAACTCAGCACATATGATCATCATATCCATGCTGTGTACGTATAGCCAGTTTCTCTTAAAAGGCGCCTGGCCAGCGTGGAAGAGTAGGCCAAATACCCTCTAGAAGGGGCTCTTCTTGACCTCCCTCTCCTGGAGACCCTTCCGCCAACAGTGGCGTGGGCGTGCAATTGCAGGGTTGCGCCTTTGCCTGTCGAGCCAATTGCACGTTGCTGATGATCCGAGTCTGCGTCTTCGCCCAGATTCGCTCACGTCCTCTCGTCACACTCACGCGCGATGGCTATCATCCGCTCGCAGTCATCGTTGGTGAACGTGAACACAACAACAACAAATTTTGATTTAAAGCCTTCGTGACTGCAAGGATTCATCTTCTTTGGTTCTTTCGGTAAAGTCACGTAGAATGAGAATAAAATAATAAATTGATAAAATAAAATAACACAATAAAATTCTCACGACGTTTCGGCCACAACACAAGCGGCCTTCATCAGGTGAAGGGACGAGACTGTCTGGAGGACAGCGCTGGAGCGAAAAAGCCACGCTCAGATCGCGACCTTTAAGCTGTGAGAAGAAACAAAGTGCCTTGACAAAGGAATTAGCATAGAATTTAGCATTGAAATGGCTGAGTGATTAGCTTGTGACTGGTCACAGAAATGGCTATGTTAAAGTCAAAGCATACACATTCACAGAGGCACCCCTTGACAAAGGAATTAGCATAGAATTTAGCATTGAAATAGCTGGCGAATGTATGACTACCTGCGTGATGAGTTGAGCACTTGACATTGGCGAATGGTGACACATTCCGATGATCTGTTAGGAGGTTTAATATTGTTAAATAACGAATCGTAAAAAAAATATTCTTCAGAAAGTCTCTTTTCCAACAATGCTGGGCGTTAACGCGTGGCACGGCATATCTCAGTGCGGAATAACAACGTGAGCATCAAACCCAACAAATGATTGAGACAACAGTTGCCATCAACATGAACAGCAGTCGAATACAAGTTGTCATCGATTGATCGGCTCAATCGACTAATAGTCCCACGAGCTGCGTGAGTGTGCGTCTCAGCTTCTATTGATTTGCCCGTCGACTCGGCAACGACAACGAGCCCGTCGGCCGTGAACCAAGCCTCCGCCCTCCCCACGGCAGTCACCGGAGCGGGCGTGCAGCGGGGAGCTGCGGAGACCGCCGTGGCCACCCCGTGGCGCCCGTGCCGTTCGCGATCCCCCCCCGCGGCCCGGCGACCCCCGAGCGCGCCGGGCCCGCGGCACCGCGGCCGACCGCTCTGGTGACGGGCGGCACGGGGTACTTCGGCTGGCGCCTCGGAGCGGCGCTGAGCGGCCGCGGCTTCCGCGTGCGGCTGCTGGACGTGCGGAGTCCCCCGGAACCCCTGCCGGCTGGCGCGAGCTTCGTTCGGGTGAGCCGCGCCAGGCGTCGCAACGCGGGGACGGCATTGCAGGCGCACACACCGTGGGGGCCCAGCAGGGCGTGGGGAAGTTGTAATTTTTGAAAAATATTTTGTTGCTGCGGTCGTCTCAGCTAAAAAAATTAAAATATATAGATGGGTTCACAGTGAACGGTTGGGAATCGCTGCCCGACGTGGCCAATTTTTGTCCAACGTTTCCGACCACGCTCCAGTGTTAGCCCAAAGTTGGGTGTTTGCTGGGTGGGTTTCAAGGCTTCACCCGAACTCGCCAAATATCCACCCCTTGCCAGCTCCAACCGGGAAGTAGATTTCAACGGAATCCACGGCACAGATCAACTTCGCAGTGTTTTCCTTTCCTCGGCACGCCAGTAACTGGGACGAAACTCCACAGCTCTCCCATCACGGGGAAACTTCATCCAGGACAAAACACGACTCCAACGCAAATGGGGCAGTCGGAGCGGACTGGTTCGGAGATCCAACCGTGTCCCGTGTCCTGTGGCGCACGCAGGCCGACGTGAGGGACTACGAGGCGGTCGCGAAGGCTTGCAGCGGCGTCGCCTGCGTGTTCCACACGGCCTCCTGCGGCATGTCCGGTAGCGAGCAGGTACTGTCCCACCGGGGTTGCCAAGAATCCCACGGAAACCGTTCGCATACAGGAGAGGATCTAATGCGCACTCCGCAGATGTTGCAACGATGTAAGCTGCTGTCGTATCGCACCGGAATATCATGTCCACACGCAAACTGTTGTTCAGATATCTAATCGTTAAAATAGTGCACCTGGAAGAGTCCCTTGAGATGGAATCGCTTCGCCTGCGAGGGTGTCCAGGGTCTCAATTGATGGGCGCATTAGGGGCCGTCCATAAATGACGTCACGAGATTTTGGACGATTTTTGACCCCCCCCCCCCTCGTAACAAATGTATGACCCCCCCCCCCGGTGCGTGACGTCATTTATGGACGGCCCCTTAGCAAACGCCGGAATGGCACGTGTACATAAGGATTTGAAATCTATAACCTATACCCGTTAAACACATTATTTGGTGATGCTGCTGCTTTGGCAGTGATGTACAAGCACAATAATCAACAACAACAACAACCTCAACACGTTTGTCAATAATACTGCGTGGCCATAGAAGGCAAATATATATACTACACGACGTTTTGGGCAATGGGCCTTCTCCATAGCACATAACATAGAAGGCGATACAGCACAATGTTCCATCTCTGGGTAGAGTGTTGCCCCCTTGCATGCATGAGTTTTCTCCGGGTGCTCTGTGTTTCTGCCACATTAATTGGCCGATAACAACTTAATATATAGAGGACCTCAGAACTTGGGCAGCTGTTGGCGCCGGCTCATCGCCCTAGTCATTCTCACTCTTCGAGAGGGAGCAAATACTTCGCGTGTTACAGAATTAAATGATTATGGTCGTGGTCGCAATTATAAAAGGCAATATTGTGATTTTGCTGCAGCTGAACAAGGTCGAAGTGGAGTCTGTGAATGTGTTGGGCACACAAGTCGTCATTGCAGGTAAATAGAACTAAATAGAACTGGGTAAATGGTCGCATTGAAGTCATACACACTCCACACAATTTATGTATGTATATATATAGAATGGTGCCACCATTCTATCGAGGGCACGAGTTAACCCCCGGGGTTCTACCGCTTGGCTGTCCTCAAGCCAGTGTGCGTAGAGAGAGAGAGCCAAGTGCCACGTTGTTCCAGGTAAAGGTCCGGCCGCTGAACACCGTCGCGACGGTGGAGGGCTGGGCAGAGCACGGCAGCGTCGCGACGTTTCCACGACCTGACCCATGGGCCTGCGCGTGGCGTGCGGCGTGCGCAGCGTGCGTGGCCTGCGGGGTGCCCTCGGTGGTCTACACCAGCACGGTGAACGTGGTCTTCCATGGGGAGCCCATCCACCAAGGCGACGAACAAGCGCGCTACGTCCCACTGAACAAGGTCCCCGAAATTAAACAACGTTTTCATTTTAGACAGCGCCATGCATGCGATTGCATCCCACAGCGCTGCACGTCAAGTGTCCAGTTCTGCACACAAATACGAAACCAAAACCCCACTGCTTAGCAAATACAAATAAATCTGAATTCTTCATCACCACCACCACCACCAATGTCTTCTAACGCCAAATTTACGTTGCCGAGAATTCCATCCTTGTCGAGACCCTCTCGGGGTGTTCCCAGGAGCTGCTGCTGCTGGGGTTCTTCGCCGCGTTTGCGCTTTGGAGTGGAGCCGGGGCGATCGCTCGATGCGCCGCCCGGGCTCGATGCTGTAACAGTACCGTGCGCTACTCTCGCTTCCGCACACGCAGTTCGTGGACCACTACTCGCGCACGAAAACCATCGCCGACCAAATGGTGCTGCTGGCGCACGGGACTCCTCTTGAAGGTCGAGTCCACCGCTCTCGAGACTGAATCCGCAACGATTACCTCCATAAAACAGGTTTATTGGGTTAGGTCGCGTAAATATGTCACGTTAACACAAAAATATGTACGCGATCTAACCTAAAAAAAAAAACCCGTATGATGGATGATATCGATCGCAAAAGCCTACGCGTTAAACGGGCGATTACCTCGCTCACTCGGTTTCAGTCGAGTACACTGCGGACCGGGGCTCTGACCGAATCGGTCCGTTTGTCTGTGGTGATGTGCGCACACAGGAGGCGGCTTGTTACGGACGTGCGTGCTGAGGCCCCCTGGGATCTATGGCCCTGGAGAACCGAGGCACATACCGAGGGTGGCGGTACCTCTCCCACGCGGGCACCTGGGTTGTAACGGGAACGGTCGAGCCGCGGGGTGGCGGCGGCTACGATGCAAGCGGCTGCCTCCAATCCGGCTCTGTGGAGGCAGCAGCGAGGGTCGGTGGATGGCACGGGAGGCGTTGTGAAGCTCCCTTCGCGTGCGTGCCGACGTGCCCATACGTCGGCTCGCCAGGACGAAGCGGCACAGCACTCGGTGCGCCAAATATCCTCATTTCCCATCGTACTCTGCGCAATGCGGCGTTGCGCGGGGTACGGTGCTGCGTATCCGACTTACTGGGGACCGAGGTACGGGCGGATATGCGATGGTCGTATTTGCGACGTCGCGCTGCACTTTTAACCGGTTTCGCTGATGCGTGGTGCCAACGCGAAGAGCCGTTTCTGCGACTGCCCCAACGACACAGAAATCCCCCTCCGCAGACGAACATCCGACGTCGCCTCTTCAGCTTCCGATTCGGCAGCCCGGACGTTCGCATCAACTGGGTGCACGTGGAGAACCTGGCGGAGGCCCACGTGCTGGCGGCGTGCGCCCTCGCGGCGAGCGGCACCGCTCCCCCGCCACACGGCGCCGTACGTGCGATCGAGCGCTCTGCAAAGGCTCCCCGTGCACCGCTTTAACGAGCCTCAAACGGACGCAATTCAAAGCTTGGTTTTTGAGATTTAAAAAAAATGACATTCAATTTAGCCGTAAAGTGCTCAAGCGTTTGAAGTTAATTTTATTTGTTACACGGATGATGCCGTTTAGCCAGTCGCTCTGTTATTGTGTGGTGCGTGGTGCGTTCGCACGGCGACACCAAAGACAAATGACGTCACCGTGCTGTCACTCATTCTCGTGCATCCCTGTCACTGCAGTGATCTCACTGAAGTGCCCTAGACCACGATTGTATTGTCTCTTTTTCATGAATGCAGCCTCAAACCATTTTCAGAACAAAGGACACACAGCTGAGGGAGATATATACGGGATGACAGAGCCGCAACTTTGTGTTTCGGGCCGCATAAACCTTTAACAGAGAAAGCTGCAAGCTACTGGAAATGGAAAATACCCTGGCGTTCCAACAGCACCGAGCCAATTCACATCGTAAGAAAACGAGAAAGAAGACTGAGAGCGCTCGTGGAAAAGGGTGGTTAACGGTGATGACAAATGGGGTCGAAGTTAGTGTAACTGTCAGGACTGTGCTGTATGCGTCGTGTTTCAAGTGTCACGTTATACTGCTCATTACTCAACTTTGTTGGGAGTCGTGTTCTGTGCAGCGGCTGTATAGTGCGCGTGTGTGTGCGCGTGTCCCTTTGTGCCTGTGCGCAGGGAGGCCAAGCGTATTTTATTAATGACGGAGAGGAAGTGAACGTGTTTCAATGGCTACAGCCGCTGGTTTGTCGTCGAGTTTTTATTCGTTACTATCACTATCATCATTGCCACTGCAAATCACACGATTGCCATCACACACACACACATACACCACCCATACCATCACTATTATGTATTAGTATCACCAATCAATAATACCAATACCCGCCAATTCGCCATAAATAACGGTGACATCACCACTGCGCTTGTGCCATGCCAGGTTGCACTTTGAGGCCACCACGTGAAGTGTCAAAGGCTCGCTGACAGATCTCGGGACAGACCCAGCAGGTTCCATGGGTTGGCTGACTGAGATGGCCGATATATGCACCAGCTGTACCCCCTACTATACCAGCCTAGGTGCAGGAGGTCACGGGACAGATCCAGCAGATTCCATGGGTTGGCTGACTGAGATAACTGGTAGATACACTAGTTGTACCACCAACTGTGCCAACTAGAATCACCACCAATACCGATACCACCACACTCATCACCACCACCATCAAGACAAGCGTCATCATATATTTGGGAGGGGGGGTGACGAACTCTATTAAATGCATATCACCTGTGGTCACTATTTGCTCCACCCCTGTTTATCGCATATATAAAACCGGTGCTGGTCATTCATGCTCAGGCAATGCTTCTGTTTAACAGTTTGAGAAGCTTGGGCACAGCATGCCTCGGACATGCGTACCTGTTCACCTGGTCTACGCTGCAGGTGCGAACTCACCTACATCCACGTTACGAATTGCCAAGTCCACGCGTGCATAATTTTACTTTCAAGTAGACCTCACGTCCACACGTAACATCGTGCACACGATGCCACGACCATCAATCAGCTTGACCTGAAGAAGTGCATTGCTATCTTGTCTTGGGTCAGCAACAAAATACTTTTGATCAAATGTGATATTTTAATGTTTTACATATGTTTGCGCGTTGTTTGAAACCCGTGGTTTTCCAGCCCGCTCAATGTTTTCTCATCACTTACAGATTTTACACAATATACTGCAGTAGTCACATGATACCACTGTATCTGCACTTGTTGTTACCTGCGTAAACCTCTGAGAGCTCTTCATGTCTTTTATGCCCCCCCTCTGCCCCTCCCCCCCCGTGTGGTTTGGCTGCAGCCCTGGCGATGGAATGGGTGCACCTACTGCTGAGGCCTTTGGTGGACCTCCCTCCACTCCTCACCAGGAGTGAGGTAGAGTCACCAAATACTCGATATTTTGTCAAATAATCCGCACCGAAATGCACTGAACTCTGGGGCAATCCATCGTACGGCATGGCACGGGCAAAAGAGGGTTGTGTGGACGTGCCGTGTGTTGTACGCTCTCTTGCACATGAGCCTGCAACACATTCGGACGGGATTTCACACGTCTCAAAATCATGTGACTGCGTAATCTAAATCTGGACCCACGGTCCCAAATATATTCTGGCCGTTTGAAACCAGCACCGGTGAGAGATGCATTCACGTCGCTTCTTTCGGGCTTCTGCGAGACGCTTACTCCCAAACGCCGATATGTCGGTGCGGCAGAGGCTTCGTCATCCAGCGGCCGTTTCAGAGCACTTCTTGCCAAATCTCCTCTGGGCGTTGGCATTTCTTGAGAGTTGACGTGAGGCAGCGATATCTGTAATCCAGGTAATCCAAACGGGGTCTTCTGGCTTGGGCCTGCGTGTTGAGCATTTCCTCTCTCACGATTGCTGACTCATCAGATGAACAAATTCCGATTGATGGGCGCCCGTGCAATGCACCTGTGGAATGCGGTCACCGCCGCTTTAATGTACTACGAGTCGGATATTTGGCGAACGGCACTGCAACACGCGGGCTCCAGGCTGCTGAGATGCGAGGAGAGAAACAGGGCACGAGGCACACGGGGAAAGGCTTTTAAGGGTCTTCAAAGTGCACGTTATAATAACGAGGCACGCATGCATAATAGAGCAGGTGGAGTTGCATTATTGACAGACATTGTTTAAGAAGTGCCGTGTGGAATTACGCCTCTGGGTCTATAATAATACCATTCCGCTTTGATGACCTCATTCATGGGATTCGGCGTGAACCTTAAACCGAGCGGTTACTTAACCCAAGCCGCCAGCCGTCGTGTTTCCCGGACACCATATTTATTTAATGCTGTGTTATTTACAATATAGTATTCACCTCGTGCCAACCGGTGCTGGAATCATCAGCAAAGCGACGCAATAGCTCACGTGAAATGTGAATAACAAGCCACCAATCAGAAAACAAAAGTCGCTCGTTTATATATTTATTTTAAAGTGATTAATGCGAGTAAAAGCACCGGTATAAAATGGGCGCCCGTCAATGCGAAGGTCATTGTGGTGACAATTGGCGAATGAATTCAAGTCACAACTACACGATGCCAAAATGTCACCAGACACTCGGCACCCTCCGGAGGAAGGCAGGGGCAGTCTCGGCTGGCCTCGTCACGGGCGGAGTGGCTGCCTCGCAGGAGACGGCGGGCAGCACCGGCCCAACAGAGTTGGGTTTCAATCGGGTGAATTGAGAGAGTTACTGACACGCCGCGTGCACTCTCACGCCGCAGCTTTGATTACGAGTGGAAACCCCCGCACCGCGTTCATCCACCGCAGGTCAAAAAGCCTGCTCTTCCTTCATCCTGCTCCACCTTGGAATGCTCTCCCATCGTCGTGTCCCCCTCCCAGTTCTTATCACTCTGCTCAATTCAAGCAACATTCACTTTTTATCTTTTATACCAATGCTGTAAGTTGCCGGCCGCTTGGCGTTCTCGTCCTTGAGGACCTCTGTGCTCAGCGACCAGGGGCATATTTTGTTCGTTTTTGAAAGTGCACACGTTTTTTTTTGTACGCGACGTCAATCGTCATTGCCTCCGGTGTGCTTCGTGTGTAGGTGTGGAACGTCGGCGTGACGCACACATTCTGCATCAGCAAGGCACGCCGCCAGCTGGGATACCGTCCACGAAAGTTCTGTTTGTCCGAGACGCTGGACGTGCCGAAGATCACCCGCATCAAGACGTGGCAGACAGGCGTCGCCCGGCATGAAGCGCTGATGTGGACCGGAGTGCTCCTGTGCTTCTGTCTTTTCGTGCTCCACTCTGTGGTGCTCTTACTGATGATGTTTTGAGGCCGTTGGATGATGCTACGCTGAGCGTTGTCGATGTGAAATGAACAGCACGTTTCTCAATATTGAAAATGCTGTCAGTGTAGGGCACTTATCCATCACTTAATTGTAGTACAGGAACAGGGTTTTTTTTACACTTTGTGAAATGGCTCGATTCACCGATAGTTGAAAATACAAAAAAATCAGAACAGTTCCGAAGAGAGAGAATTTATATTTTATTCCAATGGCAAAAGTGTAAAAGAAAGTAAATGCATAATTTGAGCAACTTACCCCTCGAAAAATTACCCCCAAATATCACCACCACCACCACCACCCATTGTCATTTTCTACATGGACGAATAGCAAAACTACATTAACTCTTCTTTGGTTCTTTCGGTAAAGTCACGTAGAATGAGAATAAAATAATAAATTGATAAAATAACACAATAAAATTCTCACGACGATTTGGCCACAACACAAGCGGCCTTCATCAGGTGAAGGGACGAGACTGTCTGGAGGACAGCGCTGGAGCGAAAAAGCCACGCTCAGATCGCGACCTTTAAGCTGTGTGAGAAGAAACAAAGCGCCTTGACAAAGGAATTAGCATAGAATTTAGCATTGAAATGGCTGAGTGATTAGCTTGTGACTGGTCACAGAAATGGCTATGTTAAAGTTAAAGCATACACATCCGCATAGGCACCCCTTGACAAAGGAATTAGCATAGAATTTAGCATTGAAATAGCTGAGTGATTAGCTTGTAACTGGTCACAGAAATAGCTATGTTAAAGTCAGAGCATACACATTCACAGAGGCACCTAGTACAAATCAAACAGGAGAATTTAGCATTGAAATAACTAGGCGAATTTAGCATTGAAATAACTGAGTGATTAGCTTGTGACTTACATTAACTCTCCCGAGGCCCTCTTGTCGTAACTAGTAGACCTCGACATTGGCATTTATCTCCTGAACAGATTGCCAAAGATGAGAATACAACATTTGTGCAGCACCCGGCATCTTCATCTTGATCAAGGGACTGACAAACATTTTAGACATTTCATTATCATCATAAACCAGTCAACCGACTGATCGATGAAGTAATTGGATGAAGGTGTTTATTCATGGAAAGCAAATACTCTACTGCAGTCACACAACACCATGTAATGAGCACAACCAATCTTAATAAACTCGACATTCGATGAGCGACAGGATTGTGGAAGATCAGCTATGCACATGAGACTTGAAATCTACTGATAACAATACTATACTGCAATTAAGCCAAAAAGCCAGTGCAGTATACAGGAGTAAGACTATCGATTATTTATTTGGAAGTGTCAAGACTCCTTCTCAGGATGGTCCTGCATTGGAGATGTGCAGCCATTTCCATGATTTATGGTTTGGGTGCGGCATTACAAAGGAGACGAACGCAATAACGTGGAAATTTAAAGAAGACCGATTACAATGGAATTTGTCAAACGCCCGACTTGATATTTAAAACACAAAACGAAGTAAGAAAAGTGGATGCCTGAAAAAGGGGGGGGGTGGTTGTGGTGGGGGGGTCGTTTATATTTTTGGTGACGTTTTGGCGCGAAAAATCCAGCACGAATTTGTACAAGATTTTCGCCCTCGTTCTCCGGATTATAAGACGCACCCCCCCCCCCCCTCCCCGTAAACGTGTGCCCGGTGGCAATAACGGTCCGTGAAATGTGGTCTTATGCGTGCTGGATTACAAGACGCACCACCATCAACTTTACAATTAGAACACACGGCGGGGGGGGGGGGGGGGGGGTGAAACTGCGTCTTATAATCTGGAGAACGCGGGCGAAACTCTTGTACGAATTCCTGGTGGATTTACTTGTGTTTTAAAAGTCCGGCCACTCCACTGCAAGTGCCGGGACCAAGTCGGGCCTCTCCACTGCAAGTGCCAGGGCCAAGTCGGCGAGCACGCGACCTCACGGCATTCCAGCGACCCCAGGGACTTGTGAGCCAGGACTTGTGGGCCAGGACTTGTGAGCCAGGACTTGTGAGCCAGGACTTGTGGGCCAGGACTTGTGAGCCAGGACTTGTGGGCCAGGACCTGTGGGCCAGGACTTGTGGGCCAGGACCTGTGGGCCAGGACTTGTGGGCCAGGACTTGTGGGCCAGGACCTGTGGGCCAGGACTTGTGGGCTAGGACCTGTGGGCCAGGACTTGTGAGCCAGGACTTGTGGGCCAGGACTTGTGAGCCAGGACCTGTGAGCCAGGACCTGTGGGCCAGAACTTGTGAGCCAGGACTTGTGGGCCAGGACTTGTGGGCCAGGACTTGTGGGCCAGGACTTGTGGGCCAGGACTTGTGGGCCAGGACTTGTGGGCCAGGACTTGTGGGCCAGGACCTGTTGGCCAGGACTTGTGGGCCAGGACCTGTGGGCCAGGACTTGTGAGCCAGGACTTGTGGGCCAGGACTTGTGAGCCAGGACCTGTGAGCCAGGACCTGTGGGCCAGAACTTGTGGGCCAGGACCCAGCAAGGACCGGGAGCGAGCGGCGTGGAGCCGGGCGAGGCCTCTGTCCTCCGAGTCCTCAGAGTCCATCTCAACGACGAGGGGCCTCATCAGACAGACTCCTGCGACACTTTTATCCTCATCAGACAGACACCTGCGACACTTTGATCCTCATCAGACAGACTCCTGGGACACTTTGATCCTCATCAGACATACTCCTGGGACACTTTGATCCTCATCAGACAGACTCCTGCGACACTTTGATCCTCATCAGACAGACTCCTGCGACACTTTGATCCTCATCAGACAGACTCCTGCGACACTTTGATCCTCATCAGACAGACTCCTGCGACACTTTGATCCTCATCAGACAGACTCCTGCGACACTTTGATCCTCATCAGACAGACTGCTGGGACACTTTGATCCTCATCAGACAGACACCTGGGACACTTTGATCTTCATCAGACAGACACCTGGGACACTTTGATCCTCATCAGACAGACACCTGGGACACTTTGATCCTCATCAGACAGACTCCCATACCCAGGGTACCCAGGCGCCAGTGTTGAAGTGGGTAGGGGTGATTCCGTGGGTACAGTAGGTGCATGATTGGCCGCCTCTAGAAGGGTACGAGCGGGTCGTTGAGCGTATGCTATTGTGTTCTGTATGCCATTGTGTTCTGTATGCTATTGTGTTCTGTATGCTATTGCGTTCTGTAAGCTATCGTGTTCTAAATCTTGACTTAAAGCTTTCGTGACTGCAGGAATTCATATTCTTTGGGTCTTTAGATAAAGTCACGTATTGTGTTCTGTGAGCTCTTGTGTTCTGTGAGCTCTTGTGTTCTGTGAGCTCTTGTGTTCTGTATGTTATTGTTTTCTTTTGATAGATGTTGCGTCGCGAGATACACACGGCACACCGATGTGGATACAGAACGCACACCGTGTCAACCCATACGGTTTACCCCGTAGTCTTGTGCAGGGAAATTGAGTTTCTAGGTTCACGTGGCCTCCAGCCGTTTCAATAGGGGCTAACAACAAAACATTTGTGTGTTTGTCTGTGTTTACTCCCTTGTGATGGGGCTTTGTAGGATGAACATTGAGATTTCTAAGGGGCACGGGGTGATCAATAAGGTCTGAATTGGTCTGTAATGAGGTAGGGCACTGACAAGGGGTTGACGGCTATGAGAACCCAGTGCAAGTGACTCAACCCTGCAGCCACAGCACGAACTTAACTTCCGTCAAGGTCCTCGATCTCCGGCCCTTGCGAGTGCAATGTGTGTGATCGCGCAATAGCTTGAGGTTGTTGAGCCTGCTTATGTCTTTTTGGTGTAATAAACAACGCAGCCTAAGCGTTATTTTTATTGTTGGTCTCTCAATCCCCGCTCACCTTGACGGGCGCTGTAGCGTCCCTTTGCGTGACAATCGCCTGGGGCAAAATTGAAGGTGGGCCGAGGTCAAAACGATTATTAAATAGATGCACAACACGAGGCTTGGAGAGCTTTTTTGAAAAAACAATTAAATTAATGAAAAGCGATGTTATCAGTGGGACCCAGAGCAGTGCCCGATTATATGATTATAGTAGGAAAAGTAGCTACATACAGTGAGGGAAAAAAGTATTTGATCCCCTGCTGATTTTGTACGTTTGCCCACTGACAAAGAAGTGATCAGCCTATAATTTTCATGGTAGGGTTATTTGAGCAGTGAGAGACAGAATAACAACAAAAAAATCCAAAAAACGCATGTCAAAAATGTTATAAATTGATTTGCATTTTAATGAGGGAAATAAATATTTGACCCCTCTGCAAAACATGACTTAGTACTTGGTGGCAAAACCCTTGTTGGCAATCACAGAGGTCAGACGTTTCTTGTAGTTGGCCACCAGGTTTGCACACATCTCAGGAGGGATTTTGTCCCACTCCTCTCTGCAGATCTTCTCCAAGTCATTAAGGTTTCGAGACTGACGTTTGGCAACTCGAACCTTCAGCTCCCTCCACATATTTTCTATGGGATTAAGGTCTGAAGACTGGCTAGGCCACTCCAGGACCTTAATGTGCTTCTTCTTGAGCCACTCCTTTGTTGCCTTGGCCGTGTGTTTTGGATCATTGTCATGCTGGAATACCCATCCACGACCCATTTTCAATGCCCTGGCTGAGGGAAGGAGGTTCTCACCCAAGATTTGACGGTACATGGCCCCGTCCATCGTCCCTTTGATGTGGTGAAGATGTCCTGTCCCCTTAGAAGAAAAACACCGCCAAAGCATAATGTTTCCACCTCCATGTTTAACGGTGGGGATGGTGTTCTTGGGGTCATAGGCAGCATTCCTCCTCCTCCAAACACGGCGAGTTGAGTTGATGCCAAAGAGCTCCATTTTGGTCTCATCTGACCACAACACTTTCACCCAGTTGTCCTCTGAATCATTCAGATGTTCATTGGCAAACTTCAGACGGACATGTATATGTGCTTTCTTGAGCAGGGGGGCCTTGCGGGCACTGCAGGATTTCAGTCCTTCACAGCATAGTGTGTTACCAATTGTTTTCTTGGTGACTATGGTCCCAGCTGCCTTGAGATCATTGACAAGATCCTCCCGTGTAGTTCTGGGCTGATTCCTCACCGTTCTCATGATCATTGCAACTCCACGAGGTGAGATCTTGCATGGAGCCCCAGGCCGAGGGAGATTGACAGTTCTTTTGTGTTTCTTCCATTTGCGAATATCGCACCAACTGTTGTCACCTTCTCACCAAGCTGCTTAGCAATGGTCTTGTAGCCCATTCCAGCCTTGTGTAGGTCTACAATCTTGTCCCTGAGATCCTTGGAGAGCTCTTTGGTCTTGGCCATGGTGGAGAGTTTGGAATCTGATTGATTACTTCTGTGGACAGGTGTCTTTTATACAGGTAACAAGCTGAGATTAGGAGCACTTCCTTTAAAAGTGTGCAAATAAACCTACCATTAAAATTATAGACTGATCATTTCTTTGTCAGTGGGCAAACGTACAAAATTAGCAGGGGATCAAATACTTTCCCCCTCACTGTGTGTAGTAGCTACGGGCCCCGCACTTTCAAGGGCCCCGCGCTAAATGCTTTCAAGCTGTCAACTCCGTTTCAGTGAGTCTGCACTTGCTCTACTACTATAGTACTATACCGCCTTTAACTTGGATGAACGACCCGGTGTTTAATGTTAGCGATTTGTCGTATTATCTGGGTGTACAGCAAATGAAAGCATATAATTACTTTACTATGCAAGTTAAACATTTGTCTTCTTTGGTTCTTTCGGTAAAGTCACGTAGAATGACTTTACCGAAAGAACCAAAGAAGATGAATCCTTGCAGTCACGAAAGCTTTAAATCGAAAATTAAACATTTGTGTTTAATATTTGTGTGTTTTTTATATTTAGGGCCCCTTTATAACATCTGCAATTTTTTTCACCTACGTGACTTTACCGAAAGAACCAATGAGTATGGATCCTTGCAGTCACGAAAACTTCAAATCTAGAATCTGCTACAGGCCCCGCACTAGCTTAATCCGGCACTGCTGCATGTTACGGGATGGATCGGAAACAGGGAAATTCACAATTGGAACCAAAAAACTTAAAAGCGTGCAAAGCAGCATGGAAATGTGCATAATCGGGATTAAAATTGAGACACAGGAAGAGGAACAAACGGATAAGGCAGCATACTCTCATCAGAGACAGCGTAATTGGCCTTCAACCAAGCCGGTTCATGTGATGAATTCGAGTGACGTGGATCGCAATCGGCCTCATTTAAATTCGCTTGCCCGGGGAGGCGTGGGTGACCCGGGCAGGGAAAGCAGGCGAGCGAGGCCTGATCGCGGGGCGGTAGGCCTCAACCAGATGACGTCATAGTGGCTACTTCACGTCGTGCATAATTAACAATATATTCATATTTGTCGTTTCCCTATCCTACCCAATAATCGAATCGTTACAATAACCCAACATTGATTCACCTCCATTCCTCGGTTGCCACATCTTATCAGCAAAAACCCAACCAACAGTAAACATGTGATTATTGCTTTGGCAGTGGTGCAATCAGCATAAAAAAACTAAATACATTCGTCAATACTGGCCTTTCTTCATTACGCATAGAATGGCCCACGAATTTAATATTTCCCAACGGTTCAAAGTCAACACACTCATCAACAACACTGCCTTAAAATAAAAAAAAATATATAATCGGCAATGTTTCGGGCAATGGCCCTTCATAGCGAATACGCGGGCTCGAGAGACCAATACGAGTTGGAGACTGCAAGACACTCCGTGTGGGCACGATGCCCAGGTTTAAAATGGAGACTTTGAATAGTTACGTTAACTCGTACTGCAGTCAGCAACCGATTCATTTTTATTCCCCACGAAAGCCTCTCCTCTCATCCTTCAACTCCCTCCCTCCCCTACTCCTCAAATTCTCCCTCCCACTCCCTCCCCAATTCCCGACCCCTCCACCCCACCCCTCCTGCTCCCTCCCTCCCTCTCCCCCTTCCACTCCTCATTTTCTAGCCACCCCACCTCCCCTCCATCCCAACCCCCACCCTCATTCCCCCCCTCCACCCCCACCCCTCAACCCCCCCCACCCCTGCATCCCCCCCCACCCCTCAACCCCCCCACCCCTCCAATCCCCCCCTACAATCCCCCCCACCCCTCCAATCCCCCCACCCCTCCAATCCCCCCCTACAACCCCCCCACCCCTCCAACCCCCCCACCCCTCCAATCCCCCCTACAATCCCCCACCACCCCTCCAATCCCCCCCACCCCTCCAACCCCCCCACCCCTCCAATCCCCCCACCCCTCCAATCCCCCCCTACAATCCCCCACCACCCTCCAATCCCCCCCCACCCCTCCAACCCCCCTACCCCTCCAATCCCCCCCTACAATCCCCCCTACCCCTCCAATCCCCCCTCTACAATCCCCCACCACCCCTTCCATCCCCACCCCACTCTATAAAACCTTGCCCCCTGCCCCTTACGTCACACGACTCGACCAATCGGCGCACGAGGAAGCGGCGGCCGAGTGGTGGGTGGCGCCCGGGCAGTTGGCGCATCACGACGGGGGTGGGGTAGGTGGGTGGGGGGCACGGCAACAAAAGCCTCGCAGCTCGCCGCGCTCGCCTCTCGCTCGGCCTCTTGCCGCCACCAGCCGCCTACAGCCAACGCCGCCTCGAACCATGGGAGACGAGAAACCCAAGGTGAGAGGCGCCTCCGTCCCTCGCCGCTCGCGTTGATTCGCCGCCGCTGTTGCCGGTGGAGGTGGCGGCGAGGAGGTGGTGGTGAGGAGGAGGGAGGAGGGAGGATCGCCTCGCGTTTTTGTCGTCCCCGCGTCCCGCGCTCGCTGTTGCCGCCATGTTAACGACGACGACGATGGTGCCGATGCGACAGGCCCCGGCCCCGTGCCACCCTCTCTCTCTCTCTCGCGATTGCCGCGCTCCGAAGCTCGCCGCCGGGAACGATGTTCGCGCCACCCGATCGACCGACTTCCTCGTTGCCCTCCAACCTTCACCGCCGTCCCCAAGTCGCCGGCGGTGTTATTCTAAAGAGGCCTTCCCCAACTACTCCCGCCTGGGCTGCGGCGTCTGCACAATGATGGGCCGCCGAGCACTTCGCCGATCGCGCCACATTTCTCCCGCTTGTTTTTGTTGTTGCGTTCTGGGGGTTTCGCGCGACAAACGAGACGGGGTGGGTGCGGGGGGTTTAAGATATTCGCCTTTTAGCTCGCTCGGGGGTTATTTTTGATGTTGTTGTTGCTGTACGGTTGAGGAGACTTTAAGTCTTTACGAGATGCGTCCGCCCCGGCCTCTTCCCTTGGCCAGGCCTGGCCCTCCCGAAGCCCGGCGCGCCAAGGCCCCCGCGTGGCCTGTGTCCCGCCCGCTTGGCACATGGCCGTGCTGCTGCTGCTGCCCCAAGAGGCCCGCCCAGCCGGCCGAGTGGCCGGCCGGCCTGCGCCGCTGCTGCTTCCACTCCCCCAGCCCCCTTCTCTCTCGACCTGCGCGGCCTCCTATCGCTTTCATTGTCCCTTCCTCCTCGGCCTCCTGTGGCCTAGCCGGGTTTCCCCAATCACAATACATCATGCTGCGGTAACCTTACACGCTGTGCTTTTAGCCCCCGAACCACCCTGCCTATGGCCCTGCTTGTATGTTGAACTTCTTTCGCACCGTACGTAAGCCAACCGCGCTCGCTCTTCTGCGGCCCCGCTTCGTCTTGTACGGCCTAACGTGGCCGTCCGTGTCTCTACCTGGAATCTGAATAATCCTCACCCAACCATGTCCAGATCTGCCCGTTGCTTCCCAGGGCCAGCCAAACTTGGTGCATGGCCAGCCCTCCGGCCCTTTTTGGTGCGGCCTGCCCCTTTTCTGGACCTGTAATGTCCGAACATCCTAGCACCGTCAGGTTATTGATCGTCCCCCACTGCGGCCCACGACGATCTGGTGGTCTTCACTTGGTGCCCTGCCGTGTCCCAGCATGGCCAAGCTGCCCCCCACACGCACACAAAGCCACTTAAACTTCTCATGGGGGCGCCATGATGGCGTGCACAATCGCGGTGCATCTTGGTGGCTTCCACCGCGCTGTGCTGACCGAACTTCCCATCGCTCCTCTCGCTTCTCGACGGCGATTGCTTGACACAGGATGGGCAAACATCTCTCGCGTGCACGCTGTGGTGTATGCAAGCATGCGTACTCAATGTTCACTCAATGTTTCGGGGGGGGGGGGGGGTCGAGCCGAGGCAGCAGACTTAGCGGGGAGATGTGGCAGTATGTACAAGAACAACAGCAGGCCGCTAAGAATTGTTTTTAATTAAAATACAGCAACAATAAAATGCACATTTCCCCGGTGTAGGGCACGTGTAAGCAGCAGTACGTGTTGTAAATTTGCTGTGACTCCAGCCCCGCGACTCTTTTGGGTTGGCTACATTCTTGCACGTGGCTGAACGGCGTGGGTAGGTGCTCAAGTCGTCAATTGTGTACAATGTGCATTTACAGTGGCTGGTGAACTTCCAGTCACCAGAAGCTACTTGCTGCTAAATCACATCTCGCCTGAAATTCTGCAGCTCCCCATTAGCCTCGATTTATTCTGTTTTAATGCAGTTAATTTCACCCCCCCATAAAACTCCCGATATTACATCGCGTGCATGCCGAATGTATGCCCTGTATAAATTACACAATTGTCTTCTGTGTACAACTCCTGCGGTCCGTTGTTTCTCGCCTCTGGTCTTGGGCCTCTTGCAAGCGCTTGTCTCTGGCACATGCTGTACCTACACAAAGCCGTGTTCCTTTTGAACGTCTGGTGGTGCCGCAGGAGGGAGTGAAGACGGAGAATGATCACATCAACCTGAAGGTGGCGGGCCAGGACGGCTCCGTGGTGCAGTTTAAAATCAAGCGGCATACTCCTCTGACCAAGCTGATGAAGGCGTACTGCGAAAGACAGGTGAGAGCAGCCAGCCGTACAATGACTTGCCGGTAGTGCCTGCGTTTCCATAACCCCGTTTGTGTTCACTTCGAATCCTGCTCACAGCATCCCCGCCCACCCCCCCCAAGTATTCGGGTTGCACAAAGTACAGCTACAGCATTCTGAGTAATGGATGTCCCTGTGCGCTGCTTGTTTGTATCGAGTGCATCTTGATCTTTTCCCCGCTAGCATGTACAATGAGTAATTGTTCTCTCGAGAGGTAGATCTGTAAACCGCTGGAAAACAATTTCATGTTGCTCCTAAGGCATTATTTCGATTTTAATGCAATCGTGTTTTTGTTCTGTAACACAGGGGCTGCAAATGCGTCAGATAAGATTTCGGTTCGACGGGCAGCCCATAAATGAAACGGACACACCAGCACAGGTGAGAAGTTTACGTTACAGCATCGCGAAGCTCGCGATCACGCGCTTGGCGAACACCTGCACTTTTAAAAAGCTACGCGTAGCTGCAGCTGTACGTTACACACAAGCTTGCAAGATAACCAGGATGGACCCAGTGGCCCACGATAGATTTTGAATGGTAACGAGCAAAAGTTGGGGCCCAGGTCGCTTTTGGAAAACTAAATAGCGCAGTGGGCTTCACCTGGTAAAATAGTCTAGTTTTGATTTATTTTCAGTGATATGTTTACCTTTCCTATAATTTTGCACTCCCATCGTTTTTTTTATTTGTTGTAACTTTCTGACCCCGTGCCCTGAATTGACATTTGTGAATAAAATGAGCTTAATAGTTAATCGGATTTCTCCCAGCATAAATATTCTGATTTGTGGGTTAACTCTGTAACCGGAGGTAATGTTAAAGGTGTGTGTTATCTTTGTTGCTCGACAGTTGGAGATGGAAGACGAGGACACCATTGATGTTTTCCAGCAGCAGACAGGAGGCGGTTGCTAAGCAGACAGTGGCAGTACCTGGCCTCCCACTGAGTAAAAAAACTTAAAAAAATGGTCGCGTTTCTTTTTACTGTTCTGTCAACTCGGCCCCCGAAGTTATCCCCCCACGTTCAATAGCGTCGAAGCAAGCGGCATTGCTGAAATGGAAAAAGGACCAGTATGTTGTGTTAACACCATCTGGAAATAAAAGTAAGGAAAATGCAGTCATTTACAAGGGTCCCGTATCTACGCCTTCAGAATTCTTGTCAGTTTTAGTAATTAAATCTTACTCGCTAAATGGAGCACCTTCATTTTTTTAAATTCTCGCTAATGCATACATTTTTCCAAAGCTAATGCTGACATACTGTAACTGCTGGTTTTGATGGCAATGGTGGCCATCTTGAATTATGTACACCTTTCTGCAAGTGACAAAGCCCAATTATTAGGCCCCATTGATGTGTAGTGCATTATCCAAAAGACCCTGAGTGGAAGCCCACATTGATTAATCTTTTTGTGATGGTTTGTAATTTCACTTTGTTTAATTAGAATGTAATAAATGGTCCTGTCCTATACCATTTGACTCTGATGAGCATTCGTTATGATTTAAAAGGATTCACAAAGGGTTTGTCGCATTTAATTTTCCGTGCATGTTGTAGTGAATGCAGTCTGTATTTGTGTAGAGGTTGGAGGATGGAAACGTCTAAGAACAGCGGAGTTGATCAGTTTCTACTGAAAAGGTGTAGCTTGGGAATTGAGGTAGGATTTGTGAATCTTTTTAAACAAAGTGCTGCCATTTTCCTCGCTATATTTTTAGCTAAGTTTTACTTTTCCAAGAGTGTACAAACACAGTAGGCTTTCATGTTTATTGGTCTTATCTTTTGTTTACTTGTACTTCACGTTCATTTAATAAAGTGTTTAAAAGTTACGTCATCAGGAGTGTTATGTTCTCAACCAAATGTCTGATTTCTGAAAGCAGGTTCGTGTGCAACCTTTACAGCAGAGTGGCTGATCTGATTTCAAGCAAACCATGAACTCGATAATGCCTTCATAAAGCAGTTGAGGGTTATTTCAAGAACTCTTTTTGCAAACTCGATTTACCTCAAAGGTTTTTGGGTTAGATCGTGTTATTTATGTGTTGTAACCCTCCACCACCCGACACAGCCAATCAGCAAAACAGTGTAACGTTGACAGACAATTCACTACTTTAGCCCACCGATGTGAAGAGTGAATCCACAATATTTACAGTTTGAATACGACGTTTCGCTAGTAATTACATCCAGCATCATCGGGCAATAATATTGGTGGCGAAAGCCTACGTGTTATCGATTTAGCTCGATGCTACACAATTTGTCGTGCATCCCACTTGAATGATTTGTAAAACGTCCTGAATCCTTACTGCATTCCAATCCTCACTTGTCCTCTTACTCATTTGTGGATGGGAAATTGTTGAGGGGAGGTGCTACTGCCTGGTGAACATGTACTGTACAACCATAGGTCGTGTTCATCCAAGCCCATTCAAAAACAAGGTCATTGGAAATGGGACCAAATTAAATTTGGCGACTGCCCTGATTTGAGGAAAATATTCCGAAAGTAATTTCATCCACATGCATTATTAAAATAACCATTTTAATCTTGCTGTTAAATGTAAAAACAAAATTCCATTCACAATTCCAATCCTGGCCGTGGGTGAGAAGCGCTTCTAAGGGGCGCCATCTTGAATTCCAACCTCAGCATTTTCTGCTTGAGTCGTTATTACATCCTCCGCCGCTAGGAGTCGGTACATTCACTAGTTATTACATTCTCCACCACTAGGTGGCCGCACTGGATAGTCGAGCTTTGCTTAACCGAGTGAAAAAAGTCGAAACCTGGAATTTTTTTTAACAGCAAGTGACCATTCAAAGCTGATATCCTTTTCGAAGTGGACTGCATGCACCAACAGTGAAGCCTGAAATTCCAATCGTGCTCATCCACCAGTGGACATGACGTGCCTGGGTTCATGTGGATTGCATGGCGTCACTCCAGCATTCGTGGTACTCTTAACACCACACGTGAGGTGTCGATTGACGAGATAGAACTGGAAGACGAGCAGGAACACCAAATTCTGACGCACAAATACTGCTTTATAGTTGCTTGGACAACATCAGGTGGGTACATTGATATGGTACAAGGATATGCTTCGACACAAACACAACAGCTGCAATGACGTTGCACTAATACAGGGAAGCCGTGCTTGTTATGCACCTACATTAACAGCAGTTATTGTTCTCAATGTACACACCACACCAGCAACGTCGTGAGACGGCACACACACACCTTTAACGTTTACAGTGCACAACAATTTCATCCGCATTTGTTCATTAATTACAAGTCGAGAGTAACAGCAGTTTCCTTTGTTTTGCAAGTTATGGATCTGTACAGAATTAGTTTCATGTTTTTTTTAAATATTTTAAAACGGGTAGTGTTTACACAAACATGCTGTTAAGCCGAGGTAAAAGATTTAAAAGAAGGATTTAAGGTGTCCCCGAGTTGCTCGCATGGCAGGGTTCGCAACCGCGGTCGCACGAGCTCCACCGTGTCGGACTCGGAGCCGGGGTTGGGGTTTTATCATCGATGGACTTCCCCGGGGGGTTGACGACCACCGCAAATTCTCGCCACAGGTTAGGGGGCCACAAAACGATGCTCAAGCAACTTTAGCCGACCTCGGGAACGGCAGACCAGAGCATAATGGCGGGGGGGGGGGGTGTGAATCGGACCCTGTGTGTGTATTGGTATTTGGAATTCCAAAGTGATGCACTGTTGTCCTTCCCCAAAACCTCCGATTAGCTGGCTACGTACGGTGCAAAAGAAGTTCAACATATTGAAAATTAATAACTTTACAGTTGTTTGCATTTTTTAAAAGGTTTTTTTTGATTCACAATTTCAACTTACTATGTTAACATCGGGAATACCGATAAGATGACAAGCCCTTGACAATGCACGCGATCCACGGTGGAATTGTGGCGAACCTTCGGGAAAACTTTGTGTAAAGTTTCCGTTACTTTCCTACCCTCTAACCCACCCCCTCCTGTGCAGGGCAGCTGGCTCCATAAGACTGCATTACATCTCATTTTCAAGTGGAGGAGGTGGGTGGGGATCCCAATGCATTATTTCATTTTGTGTGGAGCAAGGACGAGGGTGAGGGATGCCTTTCCCTGCGGTCTCACCGCACCGCCCTCGGTGCGCTGTGCAACATAACGAGAGCCGTCATCGCAAACGGACAACACAAAAAAAATCAAGTTGAATAAATACAATAACGAAAATAATAAACGCAACCACCCAAGTCCGCACACGTTCACCGAGGGTTCAAGATTAAGTACACTCTCCTGTGCCCGTGTTTCATTCGCATACAATTAAGGCTGCATAAACACTGCCCCAGGCAATGACTTTCACAAATGTTTCTTTATACGGGGCGTACATTTGTCTTGCTATGGGGAGTCCCCAAACGCCGGATCTTGCGATGTTCACGGTTAACTAGCAAGCCCGTTTCTGGATTCTGATTCGGCATCATTCAAGTTGAGCGAAACTTGAATTTTTTTTTGACAGGAAAGTTAAAACGAAGCTCGGAGATGTTTCGCTGCACGTTTGTGGCGAAGGCTGCAATCGACCGAAGCAATCACTGCCACCTTGCTACGATTATGTAAAAATGTCTTAGGACCGCTGCAGTCCGACCGGCCTCGATCACTCCGCGGTTGCCAACAGCCCCGTGAGAGCGAAAAGCGCTGCACGCAACCCCGGGGGGGGGGGGTTGACCACACCAGCAGGGTGAGCTCAATTCTACAGCCACCGTCGAGGGGCCTGCCGTGTGGTCCAAAGTTATCTTCTTTTCTGTCACACGATTAATCACATGGGCACGTGAAGGGTTTTTTCATTGATTAGTGAGATTTTCGGAAAATGAACACCAATACAAAAAAAAATTAGCACAACTCGACGAATCAAATTTCAGGGCGGCCTCGGCGTTCAGGCCCCCCGGGGGGGGCAGCCACGACAGCGGCGGCTCGGTAAAACCCCCGGACGTAAAATGGAACGCGTCGCCGTCGCATGCAAACTCACGGTCGTCAGTGTGTGGACACCTGACCAACGCGGAGTTCCATTTTTAACGTGGGGGAGGTGGGGGGGTGGATTTCGTTTTCTCTTTTAGTGCAGTACAAAGTGAGTACAATGAGCTCGTTTGGAACCGGACTGCTGGAGAAAGTCCTCCACACCCCAACGACACCGGCTGGCGAGCAGGCGGGTGGGTGGGGGAGGAAGCGCGCGGGGTCACGTGACCATTCGCCCCCCCCTACACCCCGCCGTGGATCCGGCAGAGCGGGTGAATAGGCGACTCTTGGAGCGCTTCTGCTCTGTGGCTGCCGTTACTCTTCGGGGCACATGACTTGCCAGACGATGAGGTGGCTACGCTCGGCTTTCGTGACGACGGGTTTCAACTTCCCCAAGCTGTCATCGGTGTCCTCCTCTTCCCCATCGCCTGCACGCAACACAGACACACGTGCGCACATACATATAGACACGTGGACAATTGTGCACAATAATGCAATAACCGGGATATGCTCAAATGTTCTCCACAGGAATAGTTATAAATCTGGGTCTCAATGGCACAGAGTCGGCCCTTGATTATGATGCTCCTCCTAGTTTAAGTTCTATTCTTAGATTACATTTGTTGAGAATGTCTGTAACCTTGGGTGACATTCCTTGATCCGAAGCCTTCTTTCTCTCCTCACGTCTCTCATCTCTTACCTTCGCCTGGGCAACGTCTTCCGTATCTACAATTGTCCTACCCTTTCTGCTGCTGAAACCCCGTGTGTTGGTTTTGCCACATCGAATAGACGACTGAAAGTCTCTTCCCTGTGGCCTTACATCCTTCACTGCAAAACTCGACGATTCAAAACTCCAGAGTTCTAACTTGCACTTTATCAAGGATATCACAAAACGCCAATTACCAAAATCACTCCCCTGCCTCCCAATTTGAGCCAAAATCAAACGATAGCACCCCCACGGTTTAAAAAATCCTAAATAGTCTTACACCAGTCGACCTCCCTCCTCGCCAGTCTCCCCCGTTCAGACGGTTTCTCCCTCTCCTCTGCTGCCCCTAATGTTTAGAATTCTCTTCTCCTGGTGATCCACGCTGCTGATCCCCCCCCCCCTCCACCTCTAATCCTTCTCGCCTGTGCTCTTCACAAGTTAAGTCCTAATTACACTCTCCCTGATTTCTCCCACTCTCTTCGTCCTTCCATCTTTATCCTAATTGTCACCCGGCCCCATTTCCTTTCTCTGGTTCCACAAGTTAAGAGACGCGGTCCCCTTCATCGTTCAACTCATCACAGTGCTAGTATGGCCAGCCCTGCTGGAGAGTTTCGCTGTGCAAACACCGAATCCAAAAATGCCTCGGAACCAATAGATCTTTTACGAGCACGGTCGGCTGCATGCATCGTGAATGTGAGAATCCATTTTCATTCAACAAGTCGATACATTCCAAGTCACGTGGCTGCAGTAAGGAGGAGGCGGGCTGACCCGCGTGACCGGTTTTGACCGGTTGACCCGCGCGACCGGTTTTGACCGGTTGACCCGCACGACCGGTTTTCCCGCACGACCGGTTTTTACCAGTTGACCCGCGCGACCGTTTTTTACCAATTGACCCGCGCGACCGGTTTTGACCAGATGATCCGTGTGACCGGTTGACCTCCATGGCCGGTTTTACCCGGTCGGACCGTGCGCGCAGTCTCATGGGGGAGGTGCGGCGGGGAGGGGGGGGGGGGGAGCACCGACCGATGCGGAAGTCGATGTAGCCCTCTCCACCGCTCATCACCAGCATGGACTTGAGGTGCTGCTGCGGCTGCTGCACCATGGGGTGGTGCGTCTCGCTCGTGGGGGACAGCGCAGTCTTCTCCCCAAAGTTCTCCGAGCAGCTCCTGCTCAGCAGGCACGCTCGCGCCGAGCCTGCCGCGGGCGCGGGCGGGGAGAGAGCGCAGAGTCAGCGCCGACGGCACGACCGTAGCGAGGAGCGCGGTGGCCGCAGCCTCGATGCCCGCGGACCTTCACGGCCTCCAGCTGCGTCGCGAGGCAGGGAGAGTCGGCAGAAACTCGGGGAGGACTTCGTCCAGCAGTTGATTTATCGTGGCTGGTGATTGTTGATGATTCGTGGTGTAAATGTTAATGAATAATTAAATAACATTGGACAAATATATGATTGCCCTCAAAATATATGACTGGGAGTGAAATTAGTCGGCAGCATTTGTTGGATGCAAGCAAACTCTTAACATTCGGTGTCTCGTCAAGAGTCAACAAGAGCTGGATCTTGGCGAGATCCTCCCCACACGGACACTCTGGGGGTCTGGCGCAAATCCCAACAGTTCAAGCAGTGGCCAAGGCAGCAGCGTCGCCTCACCGAGTCTCAGGACTCACTTTCAGGAGAGTCCTGCCAAGTCGTCACAGGGGCCATGCTGCCGCTGTGTGTGATGTCAATTGAAAAGTCGGCCAGTTACACTGTATGGTTTATTTTTGTTCGCTATGGGAGGAAACCGGAGAGCCCAGAGGACACCAGTGCAGAACAGGAGGAAGAACATATAAACTCGGGACTGCAGGAATTCATATTCTTTGGGTCTTTCGGTAAAGTCACATAGATAGGTTCAAAGAAAATAACAATAAAACCTACGTACGTAACTTTGCCGAAAGACCCAAAGGCTAACATATAAACTCCACACGCACAAAGGCGCCTGTGTCGGGAATCGAACCCTGGCACTTCTTGCTGCGAGGCCGCGAGTGTCACCAGTACGCCGCCGCCACCACCACCACCACCACCTTGCCGCCCTGCTCACCCGGCACGGCCACGAAGAACTTGACGGCATCGCGGTGACCGTGGAAGCACAGCTGGGCCTGCAGCATGGAGCAGTAGGGGATGAAGGAGGCGGGGGCCGGCGCCTGCTCCTCTCCGCTCGTTTCCTCGTCCGTGTGGGCGCCGGTCGCAGGAGACGCCCTCCCTGGTGTCACGCACACACACAGTTACGCGCGCGCGCACGCACACTAACACGCACGTGTATGAAAGATAAACACGCGCGGGCGTATTCGCGCGGTTATACGCGCATGCACACGCGGTTACGCCGGCACAACGCACGCGCGTACGTGCGGTTGTGCGGCACAATGTGCAAAAAAGCGAGCGAGCGACAGGGGCGCGCGTGCGTGCGTGCGTTGCTCCGGCACAAGCCATGCGTGCATGGGGCACGTGGCCATGGCCATGCGTGCGTGGGGCACGTGCGCGAGACTGCGGCAGGGGCAGCCGACTCCCTCCTGTCCTGCTGCCCCGGCACGTGGTGACGGCCGATGCGCCAACGTCGTCTCTCCCGCCCATCGCGCACACCTGGTGGACGGGCCGAGCCCTGTCGGGCGCCGGCGGTGTCAGGACACCAATAGGAGTGGTTGAGCGTACGGACTGGCAAGTGGTTGAGCCGAGGAGCTGAACCGGTTACGCCGGGGGAGCCAGGAAGACGTTTCGTTTGCCCGCTACTTTCCATACAGAATAGCACTGATCTTGAATGTCGTCGCACGATAGACTCGGTGACGCAGTCACTCCCCTCGGCATGGAGAGCCCCGGACGCTTGAAGGAGGAGGCCAAGAGTGGGGCACCGATGGAGGGGCCTCATGTGGGGGGCCTCCTGCGCCGACGCAAGGCGGCTTACAGGAGGAGCAGACCAATTGCTGCACTCGTGGGTTCATAGTTCAGCAGAGTCCACTTTCAATGCAGGCCCTTTAATTAAAATCGCTTTTCCGATTATTAACAGTGGAATTAGTATTATTAAACGGTGTTGACGGATGTCAGCGATGAAAACTCGTGAGCAAGTGGGAACAATTAGGATGATGACTCCTTCCTTCAAGGCAGGCGTTTAGTCGTTGGGAAATTGCTCTGGGATTTGGAGAGCTGCTAAAGAAGAACGTGGCCGATGAAAGACGCGGACGTTGACGAATACGACGACGGAGGGACCGAGCAGTGGCAGGCGTAAGCGTTTGCGCAAGCGTAAGAGGTTCCGTTTAACACGTGACACAGCCCAAAGAACGCAGCCGGCCGCACGGAAAACGTCTCGTTGTTCAAGCAGGGCGTTGTACAACCCGTGTCTTGTTGAGAATGTAACATCACACTTCTTTTACTCAATTGTTTTAAGAATGTGTGTGTGTATACACGTATAAAATCGTGGGTAAACCCAAAATAATTAACATTATTGCTCAACGATTCCAAACATGAGGAACCGGGAACTAATTTTTTTAAATCAATTTTTTGAAAAAGGCACCAAAAGTTTTAGACAGCACAGTGCCGTGTGCTGCCAATAAACAAATAAATAAAACATCTGAATTTTATTTCAGGCTTTCATGCCAGAGAGGAATACTCAGAAATAGGTGCGGTTAACGAGGAAGCAAGGCCTTATTTAGTGATTATGTTCGTACCGTGATGAGAACGCTGATGTTGTTGTGATTGTGATTATTTGATATGACGCACTCCCTGTGAGCTTGCCAATTAATGTTAACCCCCCCTTCCTCTTGTGGAAGGACCCCTTCTTCCTATTGCCGGGGCGCAGGATCCTGCTGTGGTGAATATCAGAGCTCCGAGCCAGCAACGCCGAAACCCGAGGTTTGAGTTGAATCCAGGGTTCTCAAGTGCAGCGAAACGATCATCTCAGCCACCTGGCCACCCACGACTCCACAAACAAGAGCACTGTACTCTATACGATTGTCACTTTTCCAGCTTAGCTCAGCTTTAAAGGCTGAATAATTTCAATGAAACGTGAATATTGTGAATTCTCACTAAGTAACTTAAAGCAGGTTTAACAATTTTTTAAAATTTTGGTTGACATTTTTATAATATTATTATATATATTTGTTACCGCCGGGTGGCTCAGCGGGAGAGCTCATATCCTAGTTGGGGGTTCACTCTGCCCATCATTTCTCTGGGCTCAATAAAACGAGTACCACTTTTTGGGGAAATCAACCACCGGTCATCCTGTGGATCGGCTCGCCCCCCACAACAGCAATGTGGAATTTTCCCCCCACTGGTTCCGGGCTGTTAAAAACGGGAGATGAGCAACCAATGGCTCACCGCTCATATCAGCGGGAAAGCTCCAGCCCTTTGTGGACACCTCGAGAGTCTAAAACTGGCGTTCAACGCAACACGGCGGGCGACGGGCTGGGCACGCCGAACTTGGGATTGCGCAGACACGAGCTCGACAAGACAGACGGCAAAACCTCCAACGACGACGACGAAGAAGACAAAAAGAGCAAAAAATAATGAGACACGGAAGCCAAGCACGAGCGCGTGCGGCGGTGGGGGGGTGGGACGGCGGTTGGGAGGGTGCCACATGCACGCTCCGTCACGGCAGGCCTGGGTCCGTGCGCGCACAGAGCAACGGGGCTGGTCACACTTACCCCGCAAACCCAACACACGTCCCTCCATGAGCACTACAGCTAAGCAGGGAAAGGACAAAATTAGCCGCTGTAGTGTTGTTGTTTTGCACGGATACACACACGCGCACACACAGGGTGATCCATTTATAGATACGCCGCGAGAGTAATGAGGCTCAACTAAAGGGAAGATAAGCAACGTTTTAATTCAAAGCCTCGACACCACTCCCACCCCTCCCACCAATCTCACCACGCTTCGTAAATCCTTTGACGCTCTCCGCCTGCGAGACTACGGAGCCGTCGTGCATTTGTCGAAGCCACCCTGACCAAGTGACGACTTCTCAGACATAGACACTTAGTACACTTGACTGCCCGGGTCTCTTTTGGGGTTTTGGAAAAAGTTGAAGACGGCCAAGGTAACATCCAACACCAGCCAGTAAGCAGCTCACCTTGCCACGCAAATAGTCAGCCGATCACACTCGCCCATATGGCTGCTTCACCAGTTGACCAGATAATAAAAGGGTCGGTCAAGCGTGTGACATATCAGCTTACAGAGATCACCCGTCCGCCGGAGATCAAAGGGGACCAACTGGACAGCCAGGCTATCGACACCCAGCAAGTCGTGCCATCAGGTCGACGGCTCACCGGCCCACGTGGGCACGGATTTAGAAGGGCTTTGCTTCAAGAAAAGCGCAACCCAAAAAAAAGACATGTGGCTCTCATCTGGTAAACACGCCCCCCCCTCCCCCCCGGGCTGCGTGTGTCACGTCGAGAAGACTCCCAAGGTTCGTTGTCGACAAGACTTTAAAATCACGGTCAAGCACTCTGATCGGGCTTTAGTCTACATCCCTGTGCTGACAGAATGAGGCGCTTTATCGTCGCTTTTCTATACTTGCTGAATGTTTATACTTCAAATTATTGGGATAGATTTATGTCGCGAAACCTTTCGCCACCAACACGGCCAAACCAAGTCAGGTTCACCAGTGCTGAATGACGCACCAACGACCATTTCTTTTAGCTCGCCGAATTCTCACAACGGAATTCAGCGACGAGATGAAACATTGTTCTATTAGCGAAGGCTTCACAAACCGGTTTGAGACAGGCCGCGGACGCTGGGCCTGGGCACAGCTCCCCAAGGTACAAGGTCCGGGGGATTTGCTTTGCTTGGGCCTTCTTTTAGTTTCGCAATGCTATGGCAGCGGCAGTGGCGGTGGCGTGCGCTGTACGGCCGGAGCACAACTTACTCTCGGTGAGCGGGATGGAGATGATGACGCCGTTGCCCGTGCCCACCCACAGGCGGTTGCAGGCCACCAGCAGCGCCGTGATGCGCACGAAGGAGAAGCCCAGCTTCCCCGTGCCTGCCACACCGCACCGTTACGCACGCCGCACATCGATCTACTCCCGGCGCGATCCGATGCGGTGGCGGCAACCGCGTTCGTCGCTCAATTGCACGTTTACGTTGAACGTCTTCCGCACCGTACGTAGCCTAACGGGCTAAACGACCGGTGCGTGCGTGCGTGCGTGCGACAGGCTCCGGCCGGGTTACCCAGCATCTTGCTGACGTAGGGTTCGATGTCGACGTCCTGCAGGTGCTGGTGCGTGTGCGCGTGGTAGAGCCGCAGCGTCGAGTCCAGCCGGATGGAGACCCACACGCCGTCGCCGATCCACGCCAGCTGCCGCACCTGGCTCTCCTTGCGTGGGTGCGCATCAAACGATTTCTGTGCCACGAGACGCGCGCCACAACCGCCCGGTTTTAGGTAAAGCCACGTTCCGATTGTGTTGCAATGCTTGCTCATTAAACTAATTGGCACGAGGGTCAGGCGTGTGGCCAAGTCCCATGACTTGATCGAATGTCACCGTTTGCGTTCTCAATTTGATTCTGGAACTAATTTTTGGCTTTGTTTCCAACGTCTCGTTTTGCTTTGTCTCGTTCGTGCCGTGCGGTCCCACAGCCACTGTTGACTTCCCCACAAAGAGGTGCTCGTTTTATCGACCCCAGAGGATGGCCTGAGTCAAACCCCTCCCCCCCACAACCAGGATTTGAATTCCTCGCGAACTTCCGATTGCGAGGCGCTCGCTCCGCTGTTGTTCCGCCCGTCCCATGCACAAAACGAAAGTGCGTGGGGATGGAGGGTCGGGGGGGAATGGGGGGCGGTGGATGGGCAGGTGGGGGGGGTGGGGCGAGTCGCCTGCACCTCGATGCGCATGTTCTTGGGGTGCACCACGTGCACTTTGTTGCGGTAGCCGCACCACACGCGGTCGTGCACCACCGTCATGCAGCGGATCGAGTGGTGAGGCCGGCCCAGGTCCAGCAGGTGGTAGTTGGAGAGGTCCCAGCAGCCCTCTGGGCACACGGCGTCGGCGGACGTACGCGGGGGGGGGGGGGGGTTCAGGGGAGCAACGCGTGCAGGCATGAGCGCGACGTACACACAGACGCGTGCGTGCGTCAGTGAAGGTGCGTGTCGGGGGTTGCCGTGAGAATGTTTTTAACGAAACGACGTAAAACGTTAAGATGCGACCAATGATCGGGATTATTGGCTTCCCTCGACTCTGCAGCTGTAATTCAATTTCAGCAACCGCCGCCTCGCGCCACTGCTGGCGCAAACGACTCAGCTCGAGGGAGCTCGACAGACAGCCCCCCTCATAGGGTCATTGGCCTACTCTTTCACGCTGCCCAGAAATCCTGCAAGAGGCGGTGCTACCCACACTTTACCCATTCATCCTGCTGCGTGGAGAGGAGGGAGGGGATTTGAGTCGTATTAAAGATAAGATTCCAGAAACGAATAGCTCTTATTTCGCAGATAGGATCTAGGCTGTGCGTTCTGACGTCAATCTAAAGCTTCGTTATTGAGAGAGAATACAGACTTTTAGCTCAGTCGCCAACGCTCTCTCGTATGAAGAAACTCGCTCTCTCGTTTCAACTGCCGTGCCCGGTGTGAGAGATGCGGGGAGACTGTAGGGAAGGACCTGTGGCACGGTGGAAAATGGCGAGTGTGCCATCAGCCAAGGCGACGAGCACCCTGCCCTTGACGTGCCTGCAACGTACGCACACAGACACGGGGGGGGCAGGAGAACGCACGGTTACAGAGTTACACAGACACACACACACACGGCAGGAGAACGCACGCGATGTCGGTAGAACTTCTTTCGCACCATACATAGCAAACCACGCCTGTGTTGTGCGCGGGCGCACAAAACGCAGGCGCGCAAGACAGCGATAACACAAATCACGTTATTAACAATACGAGCACTCAGAGAAGAAGAGGAATAGTAGAATATGTCCGTGTTAACAGCGCAACTTGCGTGCGCGCACACACACTGGTCACCGTGTCACGGTGAATTTCACAACTGGCTCGGTGCAGCTTCAAGTGAACGTCGCGTCTCTCTCTAGATTTGGTCAACTTGGCAGTGATCACTGTTCTTCGGCTTGTGGGCGAGCGAGCCGAAAACAACGACAATCGGCGCGTTAAAACGCTCGTGCGCGCGATGATCAACACCCATTCTACTTGGGCTACGTCGAGTGGTGGAGGGAATGACGACATACGTTTTTGGCTCGATCATTACGGGGCACAACCCAAGAAAACCTAGCACGAATCGCGATGCCGTCTGCGAAACCCGACGCGTCAGACCGAAACTAACGTTTGGCAGACGTGCAGGGCACTTACACGATGCTCAGCACCGCGTCCTTCAGCTTGATGGTATGTAAACACTTTTTCCAGTGCCGGGCTGCCAAGTGCACATACAGGCTGCACGCACGCACACAAGAACATACATATATATATAAAAGCGCTCACCATACGTTAAAGTGTCAAACAAACTCAACCCATCCTATTGACAGCATGGATAGAAGTACCTTACAAGGTTCGTATTGTCAATATTTGCACAGACCGCTTTCCACGGCCTTGCTGGGCAGCACCAGTGGTGTGTTGACCACAGGCTGGGAGCCAGCGATGTTCTCGACACTCTGGTCACGTGTTTGTCATTAATATTGTGATGCACATCTCCGGTAAGGTCAGCTCACAGTGGAAAAGCAAAGCGATGCCAGCGGTGCGGTGCTGGTGGTCACAGGGACCCCATATACACTGGCACCGTCTGGGCCAAGCCAGCACGGCACGGTGGTTTTCCACTGGCCATTTACCGAGCCGAGCCGGTAACCAAGCTGTGCTACGCCGGCCTCACGACACGTCTGAATCTGGCTCGGGTCCCAGCTGTGCTGCGGGGCAGGGATGCGCGGAAGGTCAGTCAGTTAAGCACGGCGCCAGTGGCACGGCTCTGCTCGTGCGGTGGAAAAGCAACGCCGTGCTTCCTGACCGGCGCCGCTTTAGCCCCAGCGAGCCCCCCCCCCCCCCCCCCCCCCCCCCCCCCACCACCAGCGCGGCTCGGAATCGCAAAGTGGAAGAGCGGGTTCAGGTTGTTCGGGTTGTTGGGGGCGCCGTACCATCCGTTCTGCGCACCCAGCCACATGGTGGGCAGCATGCTGCTCAGCTCGCCGTCGCAGGCCAACGGGTCCTGCTCTGAGGAGGGTGAGGGGGACCCCTCTCTCGTCAGGGGATCGTCCACCCCACTGCTGATCGCATGAGGCCGGGGATCGGAGTGAGAGTGCATGAGTGTTAAGTGGGGGGGGGGGGGGGGTAGGTAATTGGAATGGATTTGGGAAGATGAAGAAATAAACATAAACCATTTGAGACATTTTGGCCAGAAGGCAAAGAAGATCAGGAGGTACCAAGTTTAAATGAGTAAATATTAATTGTGACTATATGTCCCCTGCTTATCCAGCCCCTCACAAACATGGACTGTAAAATTAACATAGATAGGGTTCACAAGTAGGTTATAATGGAATATTTTTTTTATTCAACCAAGGACCACGTCGCGACGCCACTGCCCGATTCGTTCGCTCGTCCGTAGCATTTCAGACGCTCACCGTGAGGATGCTCCTGAAGCCGCCCACTGGCTCACTCACACCAACCTCGACACTAACGTATCAACGCTGTAGATCAACATTCACCATGTAAATAGATCCTGGCTCAGCCTCTCAACGCAGGCCGACTCAGTAGCTTCCAGAGAGATGCGCGAGTGAGCGGATCGGCTCGGCTCACGGGAATCCTAAGCGTGGCCGGGACCACGCCGAGAGCCGGCTCAGGATGAGCATACGGCTTCGAGCCGGGCTCACGTCAGCCAGAGGCAAAACTCGAGCCGAGCTGCGACGAAAAATTCGTCCCAGGCCGTGGCGGCCCCTCACCCGGCGGGGTGCTCGCGGGCCGTCTCCGTGGGGCTCTGTACGCCCAGCGGGTCGGTGAACACGTGCTCCGTGTGCGGCCCCAGCCGCTCCGAGCCCGGCACGGTGGCGGCCGAGTCCACGTCCGTCGCCCCGGCGGCGATCTCCGTGGCCTCCGTGGCCTCCTCCGCGTTCGGGGCGTCCGGGCAGAAAGCGCCGCCGCCGTCCTCCTCGTCTTGCGACGACGACGAGGTCCCTCCGGCGGTGGCGGCGGCGGCGCCGGAGGCCGGAGCCGCCGCGGCGGAGCGACCTGCGGCGGCGAGGGGGCACGGGCGGGCGCGTTACGTACGGGGCCCGCCGCTCGTGCCGGAGGGCCTGCCGCGAGGCGGGCGGCGAGGCGCGGTCCGCGACGCTCGGCGTGCGGCGACCAAACGGTTGGCGCACCCCGCGGGCCGTGGGCAGGATCCGAGGGCCGACTACGAGGGCCGGCAATCTCCGCCGTGACAGAGATAACGAGAGGAGCGAAGAAAAATCAAGGCGAACTGGAGACGGAAAACTGGTGACTTGGACCAGGCCTCTGACTGGCCAAGTGAATACAGAAAGAGCGAGGAAGGGAAAGTGCCGCTCTCTTTTACAGGTAGAGGTGAGGTGGCAAACCAAGAATTATACCGAGCAGGGGCGGAGGGCTGTGTTTGCTGCTAGGCTGGACAAACACATAAATTCACTGCAATGTGCATCTGCGTTTCCGAGCCTCGATTAAACATCATTTCATATCTTTCACTGAGCGGCAAGGTGTATTGTACGTGCCGTGAGTGTATTTTTCTAAATACAAATTTTCTCGAAGCCGTGGGCACATTTTAGATGGAAAAAAGGTAAATTATTTCGGAGTGAATTGTGATAAATGTTGCCGTGCCGGTTGCCATGGTCACAGGACCACGTGCAAACAGGATCAATGTGATCGATGGAAGCCTCCAAGGACATTCTGTTAAACGGCGTAAAGACTGATTGCGCAGAGGCCTTCTCATTACGTTAATTGGAGTGCGTTTAGTTTCGTCATGTCCATTTAGAAATACATTTGTATTTCATTTATCGAAATGTTCCACATGGAACGTCCCTTGAGGTATGGTGTCTCGTTTTGCCACAGTGTCCAGGTAACTTTAGCGATCACATGGTAGGTAAGACAAGTTCGTGACGTTACGAGTCGCACTGATTGGGGATGACAAGGAATCGTCTCCACCAAGACTCCTGCGTCAAGTTCAGGCTCCGTAGGTGGCCCGTGTGCGTTAATCCGGCCGTGAGCAAAAGATAAACGGACGATATTTCAAACGTTTAGAAACCGCAGGGCACCAAGTCTCAACGCGGCACCCGAGCCGACTTGTTCAGACATCGATTCCGTGGGAGCGACCGCTGCCTCAACAGGTGACCCCGGAGGGGCAGCCGGCCACACTGCAGCTCGCTCACAGCCCCGGGGCTGCAACGAGCTCCTCTGGCTGTGCCGCGCGTTTTTCGGCACGAGAATTTGCCACCGGCTCTCCGTACGCATGTACGTACAACTTCTTTGGCGTCGTACGTAGCCAATCGCGCTAATCGGACGTGTGGGGGAAGGACAACAAACCAAACACAAAAAGCAGTCATGAAGCAATTAGTTTTCACTGCGTGGTTGCCGATGCCTTCTCGGTTGTCTGTGGTTCCCGCACCTCCGATTGGCACGGTTGGCTACGTACGGTGTGAAAGAAGTTCAACACGCATACACACATACGCCCCCCCCCCCCGCGGCTCCGAGTCGACTGCGAGCGAGCGAACGCTGCAGTGTGGCGGTGGCGCGGCAGCACAAGTTGGCTGCCCTCGTGCGGTGGTGGCGGTGGCCATGTGGGGGGCGGGGGGGGGGGGGGCGGGGGGTGGTGGGGGGAGGTGGGAAGGCAGCCGCCGCTCACCGGCGGCGCCCTTCTCGGAGCCGGGCGTGTCGGAGCAGGAGGGGCTGTCTGTCTGCAGGCTCTTGCATCCGACGGCGGCACACGAGCCGACCAGGGTGATGGCTCCGAGGACGCCTTCGCCAGGGCTGCCCTCAGGGGGGCTGCTGGGTGTGCCCGCGTCCGTCACCACCTCCCCGGCCGGGTAGTCGCCCTCCTGGTAGCCTGCGCCAGAGAGAGAGGTTGGGGGGGGGGGGGGGAGGAGACAATCGAGGGGGCGGCCTGACAAGATTGCCGGCGCAGAGAAAATGCGAACCGTGTTCTCCGGATTACGAGACGCACCTTCCTCCCTGTATTTTAAAAGGAAAAGTTGGGGGTGCATCTTACAATATAGTCTTCAGGAAGTCTTGTTTTAATGTAGTGTTCGGAATAATCTTGCAGGAAAAGTATCTCCCCCACTTTAAAGCGGCGCGTTCATAATCAACTTCTGCAAGAGGGCTCTCCGTTGAACGGCGTTCATTCTATTTCGGTACGCGATGTGGACATCAATGCCGGAATGTACTTTGGAATAATGTGAAAAAACAACAACAAATTAAAACGATCGGCGGTGGTGGGGAAGTAAGTCTGACACGAGGGAGATCCGAGTGCACGCGAAAACTCGGCGAACTGAGCGAGCGGCGGACGCGAGCCGCTCACCGGGCACGCTGGAGATGCAGAGGATGTGCGAGTTGCAGACGACGAACTGGTCCATGATGTTGGCTGGCTGGTTCGCGTCGATGATGATCACCTTGCTGGTGGAGTGCGTGCTCGTGCAGATCCACACCAGGCTCGGCGTCGCCTCCTTCTGCCGACGCCGACAAAACATTCCTCACTGCCGACGGCAATCCTGTTAAGTGCTCGCGCGCTCAGCGAGACCGGGCACGTCCATCACAAGCACTCTCCATTTGCCAACGATGGCTGCGTAAAAGGGTAAAGGTCAGTGCCGACCGCAGCGGCCTCCGCGCTCGAGGAAGCTGTAGAGAGCTCTCGTCCCCGCTGGACGGACGCATAGGAAGAGGTTCGAGTAGCCACACTTTACCCCCGCCACACTCGACCTGCCGATCGCCTTATTGTGGCGAACCCATTTGTCCTGCTCGGTGAGACACGTGCTGCGGTGGGGGATGCCGTCTGGCTGCATCCGGAATGGCGACACAAGGTCTGCTAAAAGATACGCAGGAGCTCGCTTGGTGTGCACGGCATCGTGGGTGTCCCCGGAGCGCCCTGCGGCAGTGACATGAGTAGCGAGCTGCACTGATAGAGAGAGAGAGAGAGTTGGAGAGAGGGAGACGGGCACAGACCTTGTCGTACTGGCTGTCCCCGTTGGCGAGGGAGGGCGACATGCGCCTCCGGCTGGCGGGAGAGGCGGGAGAGGGGCCCCCGGCCAGGTTCACACCGGCCGCACACCACAGCTGCACATGAACAGTCATGTGTCATCATCATCATCATGAAAATCATCATCGTCATCGTCGGTGTCATCGTCATCATTCACGATCAATTAATTCATTAGGAGCGGGTGAAGGGACGGCCACTGCACCCCCACACAGCGGAGGGGGGCGGGGGGGTAGCGGGGCCAAGCCGGCCGCTATGCCACACCAGGGGCCCTGCCAGCGTAATCCAATCAACAACCTCATCAGGCATAATCAATCCAATCTCTCGCAACCGTGCCACGTGACAGTTCAACCAGACCCTGCACTGTGCCACCGCTCCTCCCAGACTTCGCATCTCACCGCCGAGCTATTACTACTCGCAGCTGCTTATGGAGGACTCGCCTTCATCGTGGGGTCTTTCTCCACCAGTGGCCTGCAGTACACCGGGATGGCCATGTTAACCACCTTGTTGTCCTCTTGCCCTTCGTTGGGACTCTGGAAGTAAATAAGCTTTTTAATGTTTAATCCAAGATACTCGATGTTGAATCCAAGCCAGGTGTGTGCCAGCTCTAACAACACACAGTCCCTGGGTTGGCAGGGACAGCGATTGTCCACACAAAGGCATGGATTTAATGCAACATAAACCAGGCAGTGAGAACTCAAGAAACCAGGAAGCTGCTATACATTTCCACGTGATAAGCCACTTTGCTGAGTTATCATTAGTGGCCAGGCCGCTTGTGAAAAATAGCTACGTGGCTCAGTGGGGCCTTTAACCTGGTAAATAAAAAATATTTTTTAAAAAGTTTTTTATAAAGCGGCGAGCGAGCTTCCTGGACTAGCGGGCGGCGGTTCACCTGCTTGTGCTTGGGCGGCAGGCTCCAGCCGAAGGCTTGCAGCCGCCCGTCCTCCTTCTGCACGTGGGCACGCACCTGCCGGTACTGCTCGCGCTTCTGCTCGCGCCGCGCCGCCGACGTGTTCTCGCTGCTGGCGGCACGAGCGGGGAGTGGAGAGGGGGGGGGAAGGGGGCACGGGAGACACGCACGCGCCACCGCGTGAGCGGACGCGCGTTGGCACGCAACGCAAACCGCAAGCGCGAGCAGGGGGATGCGGCGCTCGTGGTAAAGGCCCAGCACCAGCGGCTCCGTCGAGATAACGGAGATGCGAGCGCACGCAATATTACACGCAGAGACACACGTACACGCACACAGAGAGAGACGCAGACAGATCCCCAGTGTAGCCCACACAGGCCCCCGGGCCATGTGCTGTTAGGAAGCACCTATTAAGGCCGGCATGGCACACGAGGCCGGCATCACACCTGGTCACCTTCGTCTCCCCAAGTGCTGATGTTTACGCATTGTAAAATGTACTCATTTAATGCCGACTCGACCTAGAGGAGGCCCCAGGACCAGTTCAAATAATCACCACTGATGTCAGCCATGGCCGGGAATCGAATTCGGGATGCATGCGTGCACTCACGTATGCACAAGCACACACACACATACACACATACACACACGTACATGCGTGCGCACCACGGCAACGGGAGACCCACACAGCGATTCGCAGCCAAGTAAGACGTCGGCAACTAAGCTGTTCAAAAATCTCCCCGAACCCGTACAGGCTATGGGTAGGCCTTCATCCAGCAGCGGATTGACCAAAGGGCTGCTGTGCACACGTGCTGATGGGTTTGCGCCAAGCACGCCGCGGCTGCACCCTCCGATCTTGCGCTCGAACAATTCGGCACGGGAAGGCCGACAGGTTTGACAACCGCTTTGAGGGTTTATTCGTGGCAAAGAGGCGTCGCGGTGAAGAAACGCCACCTCCGTGCCGTGCCCAATGGGGGGGGGGGGGGGGGGGGCGTGCCACCCGTTGCCTGTGAGTGACGCAAGCGCACACGGAGAGGGGCGCTCACGCGAGAAGACCGCCCCTACATCACCAACCGACTGACCGACGCATCCGGGGATAGAACCAGAGTCCCATAGCTCCTGCAAGAATGCTTCACAGCCCGTCCAGTGTGAACCCACCACCCGCCAAGCTGGTTTAACTTCACGATTGTTCACCTTGTGGGTTTGTGTGTTTTAAGAGCACTGCGCACTTAATGCGTACGAATGCAATCCGCAACATCTGTAAAATGTGTTTCATATCAGGTGAAATTGAAACCTGATCATTCGCTCTTGTTAAGAACAAATCGTGTCACGTTATCAAACGATTGCGCTCGTGGTTCTCATATTCGCTGCTCCTTGTCGGGGTGACGAGCGCAAATAAAGGCGCCGCAAGCTTTGCCAAAATAAGCTCAAGCCAAGACTGGACGAGCCTGCAACAAAATGGTGTTTCTACTTTGCCAGTCGATTGTCATTATATACGGCACGTAACAAAACGGTACTAAACTTAGGCGCCAGATTTGCACAGCGCCACAGGAAACAACTTCACGCTCGTAAACAAAACCCAAGGTGCGGAACGCGGCGAGCGGCAGCGCCTGCCAACTCGGCACCCTCCTATCACACAAAACGCAGCCCCCTTAGAGCAAATGACGACACCGGCAGCAAGCACTCCGCACCGAGCCCCGTGCCAGGGGGGGGGGGGGGATGTGGTGCCTCTCCCGTGCATACTGTTTGGGCAATCCTTTGGAAAGGATGACGTCTTCCTTAGACCGGACCTTCCTGAGGAACAAAACAGTGCGGCGGTTACGGTGGGGATGGCCGCGCGGCACCGCGGATGCGGAGCTGCGCAAGCGCGCGCCTCAATTTAAGTTTCAGATTTTAATTCTCATCGTGCCTCTAAAAGGGTGCAGAGGTTTCTGTCTTTCAGCGCCCGAATGAGGCTTTGAGCATCTAATGACGATGATAAATTAACAAGACGCAACCCAAAATAAAACAGCTCTGCCGAGTTTACATGATGTGGGTGAGATGAGGACAGGCCCAATATCCAGCAACAAACAGCACGATTTGAAGTTAAAATAAATCAGAGTTCATACGTTGCTTGAATTGAGCAAGGTTTCGATTATAAAACCTTGGGAAAATAGATGATGGGAGGGAATTTCCAAGCGGAGCAAGTGCTCGGGAAGCAGAATGAGAAGTGATGTGACCTACAGTGTGCTGAGTGAGTGGGTGGGTGAATTGGTGAGTGAGTGGGTGGGCGAGTGGGATTAAAAACAGTGTAGTAGACCGAGACCTGAACATGGGTGGAGGAATGAATGAGTGAAGGTCATGGGAAGAGTAAGCGAGAGAGTAGCAGGAATAGAAGAGCGATAAGGAGGTGACCGAGTGAAACCACCCGAATGAATCAGCAAGTGCTGAATCATAACCCAGCCTTTTAACTTGTTTTGTTTATATATATATTTACATACATTACGTGTGTGTGTGTGCGTTTACACAGTTGCCGAGCACAGCCCCCAAAGGGAGCCAAAACGGCAGGCGGCCAGCGACAAACGGTGATATTGAATTAAATCATGCTTGTACAGGTTAACCCGACCGGGCAATAGGGTTGCGTCTCCCTACGTGCACACAACACCAAGGGAGAGGGTGCCCGAGGGACGCTAACGGTGGAGGGGAAGGGGGGGGAACTACTTTTCGTGCAGGAAGTCGAGCGCGCGGGACTTGTCGCTGGGCAGCTGGGACAGCGTGGCGCTCCGCCGGGCCAGGCCGCCGCCGCCGCCGCCGGAGTTGGGGGCGCTGTACTTGATGTTCACGGCGTGGTACGGCTTCTTGGGCTGCGCCGCGTTGGAGCCGCTGAACAGACGGCTGAAGCTTCACGCCGCAACGCACGCACGCATTCGCACACGACGAGCGTCAGGAAAAGCCGGCAGGATCGCACAGTTGTTGGTTAGCGATGAGTTTGCTTTCAAGACAGTTGAGTGATCGTCCCGCAAATACAACCGGGTAGCCAATGACAGAATGTTTAAAAAAAAAATATCTTCGAATGTTATGACGATAGCGCTGCAATTGGTATCGCGTGACGAGACGAGGCGGGCGACCGAGCAAGGCCTTCTCACTCACAACTGCCAGATGGAAGACTTGTTCTTCTTCTCCACGATGGAAGGGTGCTCTCGCGACGCCCTGGAAAGCACGCGGGGGCAGCAACAACAACAATATTATAATAACCATAAAGGCACGCACACCTACGGACGATTTCATTATCCACTGCTGGATGAAAAGCTCACCATGCCATGCTGGTCAAAGCTTGTAAGCTAAGCAGGCCTGAGCCTGTATTGTTACTGGAAGGGTGACCACCACCAAGCACGAAACGGGGGTGAACAGGGCACGGTGAAACAACCCCAATGGGTGACAGTGCGTGGGGGAATCCTTAACCCAGCAGTGTATTAATAATAATAATAATTTATCGACCTTTGTCAACCCACTGCAGGCTTGAAGGCCCTCACCGGATCATCTCGGTCCACCTGACCGCCTCCTGCAGCTCCATGAGCCGCTCCTTGTACTGGTTGCGCTCCATGAGCACGCGCGCCATCTCCACGCGCGTGAAGCGCTTGCGCTGCGCCATTGGCACGTCCTCCTGGGGGGCGTGCGGGAATTCGGGGTCCGGTGAGAGTGTGGGGTCACGTGAGAGTGTGGGGTCACGTGAGAGTGTGGGGTCAGGTGAGAGTGTGGGGTCAGGTGAGAGTGTGGGGTCACGTGAGAGTGTGGGGTCACGTGAGAGTGTGGGGTCAGGTGAGAGTGTGGGGTCAGGTGAGAGTGTGGGGTCCGGTGAGAGTGTGGGGTCCGGTGAGAGTGTGGGGTCAGGTGAGAGTGTGGGGTCAGGTGAGAGTGTGGGGTCAGGTGAGAGTGTGGGGTCAGGTGAGAGTATGGGGTCACGTGAGAGTGTGGGGTCAGGTGAGAGTGTGGGGTCAGGTGAGAGTGTGGGGTCAGGTGAGAGTGTGGGGTCACGTGAGAGTGTGGGGTCACGTGAGAGTGTGGGGTCACGTGAGAGTGTGGGGTCAGGTGAGAGTGTGGGGTCACGTGAGAGTGTGGGGTCAGGTGAGAGTGTGGGGTCAGGTGAGAGTGTGGGGTCACGTGAGAGTGTGGGGTCAGGTGAGAGTGTGGGGTCACGTGAGAGTGTGGGGTCACGTGAGAGAGTGGGGTCACGTGAGAGTGTGGGGTCAGGTGAGAGTGTGGGGTCAGGTGAGAGTGTGGGGTCAGGTGAGAGTGTGGGGTCAGGTGAGAGTGTGGGGTCAGGTGAGAGTGTGGGGTCAGGTGAGAGTGTGGGGTCAAGTGAGAGTGTGGGGTCAGGTGAGAGTGTGGGGTCAGGTGAGAGTGTGGGGTCAGGTGAGAGTGTGGGGTCAGGTGAGAGTGTGGGGTCAGGTGAGAGTGTGGGGTCAGGTGAGAGTGTGGGGTCAGGTGAGAGTGTGGGGTCAGGTGAAAGTGTGGGGTCAAGTAAACCGTCGAGGGTCCGGGAGTCTCATTCAACCTGGGCGAGTGTAGGTGAGTGTGGTGTCAACCTGGGTGAGTGTAGGTGAGTGTGGTGTCAACCTGGCGAGTGTAGGTGAGTGTGGTGTCAACCTGGGAGAGTGTAGGCGAGTGTGGTGTCAACCTGGGAGAGTGTAGGTGAGTGTGGTGTCAACCTGGGAGAGTGTAGGCGAGTGTGGTGTCAACCTGGCGAGTGTAGGTGAGTGTGGTGTCAACCTGGGCGAGTGTAGGGGAGTGTGGTGTCAACCTGGGCGAGTGTAGGTGAGTGTGGTGTCAACCTGGCGAGTGTAGGTGAGTGTGGTGTCAACCTGGGCGAGTGTAGGTGAGTGTGGTGTCAACCTGGGAGAGTGTAGGCGAGTGTGATGTCAACCTGGGAGAGTGTAGGTGAGTGTGGTGTCAACCTGGGAGAGTGTAGGGGAGTGTGGTGTCAACCTGGGAGAGTGTAGGCGAGTGTGGTGTCAACCTGGGCGAGTGTAGGTGAGTGTGGTGTCAACCTGGGAGAGTGTAGGTGAGTGTGGTGTCAACCTGGGCGAGTGTAGGTGAGTGTGGTGTCAACCTGGCGAGTGTAGGTGAGTGTGGTGTCAACCTGGTGAGTGTAGGTGAGTGTGGTGTCAACCTGGGCGAGTGTAGGTGAGTGTGGTGTCAACCTGGGCGAGTGTAGGTGAGTGTGGTGTCAACCTGGGCGAGTGTAGGTGAGTGTGGTGTCAACCTGGGCGAGTGTAGGTGAGTGTGGTGTCAACCTGGTGAGTGTAGGTGAGTGTGGTGTCTACCTGGGAGAGTGTAGGTGAGTGTGGTGTCAACCTGGGCGAGTGTAGGTGAGTGTGGTGTCAACCTGGGCGAGTGTAGGCGAGTGTGGTGTCAACCTGGGCGAGTGTAGGTGAGTGTGGTGTCAACCTGGCGAGTGTAGGTGAGTGTGGTGTCTACCTGGCGAGTGTAGGTGAGTGTGGTGTCTCTTACGTCATCTGGTTCTTCCTTCTTGAACTTTCGGAACTTGTCTGCTTCGGTTTTCAACCTGAAACAGACCGTTCTGATGAGCGAGTATATCGGTGAGCTGCATTGCACCGCCACCCACTCAAACCACCGCGGGCACACCTACGTGCTAAGGGGGACACCAACATTGAAATCCACTGACCCGAGAGCTATCCGAGCGATCACCAGCAGCATTATCGCCACCACATCATCACATCCAACACCATCATCACCGGCACAATGGTCGTCGTCGTCGTCATCATCATCGTCATCATCGTCGTGTCCTTTACACTTAACCCGATGAGCATCCACCGAGATGTGGCAAAGTCGCTCTCTGCGGAGCTAGCCGGGGGGTTGGGAGGCTCGGCTCACCTCTTTAGCTCCTCGTCGAGCTCCTTCACGCGGGCCTCCACCCTGGCCTTGGCTTGGCGTGCACTCTCCAGCTCCCCGCGCAGCACCTCGTGCTCGCTTGCCAGGTCATCCACCTTTGCGATCAGGTCGTTCTTCACGATGTTCAGCGCGTTCCTTGATTGGGGGGGGGGGGGGTGGGGGCAAATGAAGTCACGGCTCTGCTCTCAGGCTTGGCTCTGGTTCAAGTGAGCCGACTCATAGCCGCACATCACTGGAGCTGGCTCTCAGAGTGGTGATCCCAGCCGTGCTTAGAACTTGTGCGAGCCGAGCCACAGCTGAGCCGCTTCCTTGGGCGTCTTTGGAAGCTACGGAGCGGCTCAAGCCTGAGCCCGGCCAAGTTAGGGGCCGGGCCAAGACTATGGTCATCAAGGATCACTGTGCTCATTGCCAATACCGTCTTGGAGTTTTAACCACAACAATCATCCTGACTTCCCTGGATCTCATCCTGAAGATGCTTCATATAGCCTCAGGCGAAACACTGCGCATCTAATTGCGAAATTTGGTTGTGGGAATCGCTCTTCAACTTGCCGGAAGTGAGCCGAAACGATAATAATCGGCGTTGTTAAACGCTCGTACACCGCGTGACAATTTTATTGGGTTGGCTGTGTCAGTTGGTGGACATAAAGTTAGCCAGATCATTAACGTGGCCTAAAACCAAAATCAATTATGAATCGTGATCAATATCATCGTACCCCTGTGTATGTACATGCAAATACACGTATGTCGGTTTGTCATTCCAATGCTGGATGATGGCCTCCCAAGGCTGCGCAGGAAACGAGGCTTATCTTGACCATACTTGACCACGCTGGTCAGTGCGGGTTTGCGGACGTGGGGGATGTACAGAACAGTGGAATTTTCTGCGCTTCCCTCTGCTGCCCACAGCGCCTTTAGCATCCGACCTGTGCGTGGTACGGTGGTCGCTCCCGTCCGAGCCACTATACAGGCTCAACTCTGCTTAGTTTCCGAGGCCTCGTGAGATCGGGAGCATGCCGGCTGAATTGGTCAACTCACAGAGTGGTGTTTATTATTATTACTATTCGAGCTTACAGGTCGGCTATAAATCCACGTTATTCTTTTTAGAGCGGTGTTCTTCATTGCAAGGCCCGCAGGCCACTGACCGCCCATGGTGGCCTTTAGTGCCGCCCCCGACAATCCACAAAAGTGAAAACAACCACCGATCATCATCATAATCATCATCGTGCTGTCAAACCCCCAATGGTTTCAACTGTGTGTTGACCCTCACACTGATACTGTCTTATCGGCGAAAGTGCCCCCTCCTCTGAAAATTGAGTAAAGAGCGCTGTTTGAGCGTAGGCCGCAAACCCGCTAAAAGCTTGCTCGGTGACAGCAGCAGTCCTTACTTGGTCTCCATGAGCTGCGTGTTTTCCAGGATGAGATTCTCGACTTCGCGGCCCATGCCTGCGGTTGACGCGAAAAGAGCAAACGGTCACGTGGGATGACGCAGCAGCAGCAAAAACGGTACGACGCAGAAAAAACGGCACGACGCAGCAGCAACAACGGGGTCTGGGGTTTTACTGTCAACCCAACGGCGGCGTGACTACTCCACGCGCAAGATTTGACGAACGCCAAGAGGGACTCGGTGACCCCTTCTCGAGCGGGCCACGACAAAGACAACGTTGAATCAAACACGGGGAACAACAAAATAAATCTAGATTACTTCGTCAACAAGACGGACTTGTAGAGGGCAACCAAACACAGGTTACACTGCCCTAGCGTGCAGCACGCTGCCGGAAGGTCCTTTTAAAAGACGGCTTTGTTGACAGCTACCGGGGGTGCCAAATCACAACCAATCTGCTGTTACTATACAGAATTGCCACGATGTTTTAATTTCATTTGTTTAAAATTCGATAAGTTTTTAAATGTAACGATATGATCATTACCGCAATATCGGTATTCCTCAGCACGTTGTAATTGTTCTTTGAATTTTTATCATTGTTTTATTTTCTATTATCTACTTCCAGATAACTTACAAAAATTATTCAACTTAAAAAATTATTAAACTTGAGTTCACTCAACATAAGCCTTACAATCATTGCAATGTTGCAATGCGCAGGGCCCATGACACACATGCTGAATGAAATGCCATGGGAACATTTTGTCATGGCATCAATAACCACAATTGGTAAATTGAATGTGTCATCGTTACTTATTTACAACTTCAATTCACGTTTGTTAATTCGCAACAAAAATTTGCCGGGATATTGAACACTCAAATGAATAGAAAGGTAATCGGGATATGACAATAATTTACAAGCGCACTCAACCATTATGATGCACCTCGCATGATATACACCGTAGTATCAATGATATATACCGGAGTATCGATTATGTATACCGTAGTATCACCAGTGCGGCAACCACTCAGACTCCTCAACGGCGAACGTACGCCACTACGCACGTATTACACTGTACTTAACCTCATGCTAAGCTTATGTGCAAAATCAGACGCTCTGTTATTCAATAAATGTAAAGTAAATTTAGATTGAAAGCTTTCGTGACTGCAGTAATTCATATTCTGAGCTCTTTCGGTAAAGTCACGTTGAAGGGAAACAATAAAATATATAACGTGACTTTACCGAAAGAGCTAAGAATATAAATGTAAACTAGCATAATGCTGGCGTGAATGGCCATGTGCCGTTAATCTTATTCGCGATCTGTACGTTCACAAAATGCAAAGTGACATAGCCGTGAGTAAAAGAGAGCAAGGTTGACAACAGCCTTACCATAAAAGTTATCGCGCGCTAAGGTCCCGCATCAGGGGCGAGGGCGGGAATCACAAAGAAAGTTTAGAAAAGTTAGGAATCCGTGAAAAGTCATAAACGCACGGCGAGAGAAATAGACTCGTACAGCGAAACAGGAGACTCGGATGCAAATGGAAGGTGCGCCAGCCGGACAAACATGCACACGGAACCACGGTCACGCGGAGGCGACAGTCGTCAATATCCGAACCCAGTGACCACGTGCGATACCCAACCTCGGTGCGCGATCCCTGTGGACCGGCCCAGTGTCTTAACAACGCACAGCCGGTCAACACTGCGGTGTCGAACAAACCGAGTCACGACTGGAAGCACAAGCTGAAAGCGAAGGACGGTATAAAACAAATAATAATGACGGTATAAAACAAATAATAATGACGATGTAAAGTTCTCGGGCGCTAGCCACGTGCAGCAAGCCCATTAAACGTGACGCGGCAGCGTCACGCCGCTGCCGCGCCGGTTTTCACGGCGGCGCTGCACGGCTCTCCCGCGTGCTCTCGGGCTGTTACCCCAACTCTCGTTCGGCACGACGTCCGACGACGTTTCGCCCCGCGTGCCGGCTGCTTCTTCAGGAACCGAATTCCCGACGGCTATTCCCCGAGGAAGCTCCTGGCGCGGTGGAGCTCCAACGATAGCATACCCGACCGGCGCATATCCTCTACCGCCCAATCAAGCTACGTCCACGCCCAGGGCGCGACTTGTGCAGAGTCGCAACTCCCACTGTCAACGGACGTTCACACGTCCGACCTTGTTTTTCCGTAACGTCCGCACACGCCTCTGCCCCTAGAGTGAGTCGGATGTGCGACGTTCTACCGTATTGCCAATAATTCACGCAAATCAGTCGCCCTCTCGTTGTCACCGCCCCGGACGCGTGGATTTACTGGGCGAACGTGTCCCCGGGTGTACGCCGCTCGCTGCAGACTTGGCACAGGCGAACTACGCGCACGCCGACACGAGGCCCTGCCGGACAAAGGCCGCCCCCCTGTGCAAGCGGGGGGACTGCCCCACATGCACGCACGCGCGCCAGCCCGCGCCACGCAAGAGGGCATTCCTCCCCACCGATAATGCCGCAGGGGAAACTAAAGGAGGTGTGGAAAAGCGGGAATGGCATTGGAGAGAAATAAACAACTGGGAAGAGATACACACCGGAAAACTCTCCTATGAGTCAAGGACATTCCGATGGAGCAGCAGGAGGGACAGAGGAGAGAAGGCACTTCGGTAAGGATAATTAATGCGGGGCAGAGCCAGGCCGGTGCGCAACAGGGAAAATCGAATTCTGCGGAAGCCACTCGATTCACACAGCGCAATTGCAACACAGTGCATCGGCGGCAGTGACGGCGGCCGGTGTCCAAGGAGACTTCAGGTTGTCTAAAACGCGCAGGCAGACCTTCACGTCTACGCATTTATACGAATACCGTTCATCTCAAACTAAAAGTCCTTTTTTTGTTTTCATGAAGTTGGAGCTTCCTTGCATTTCCACCCAGTCTGGAGACTGGACAATGCGTCTGGTATGGCTTCATACTTACCATAACATGTGAAAAACATTCACTCATTACGGACATCGACAAATTACTCTGTACTTTCTCACAACGTGCAATTTGTATTCACACCATGCCCAACCTCGCAAGTACTTCACACACCACAGCTGCAATCACGGACACATTTGGGTGGCCATTAACCAACCCTTACTGCAGCAGGGCAAGCGTTATTATGCCAGACAGAACTTGAGTGTTCAAGACAATTGAGGTATAATCATTAACGATGCTAACCGTATTGAGCTGGTGAAACATGACGTTTATAAATTTTGATTTAAAGCTTTCGTGACTGCAAGGATTCATCTTCTTTGGTTCTTTCGGTAAAGTCACGACGTAGAATGAGAATAAAATAATAAAATAAGACAAGAAAATTCTCACGACGTTTCAGCCACAACACAAGCAGCCTTCATCAGGTGAAAGAACATAATTGTCGGGACAGTGCTCCAATGAGCATTGTTAAGATTCGTAGCGTCTTTTTAAGCTCGGTGAGAGGCGTGAAACCTCTTGACAAAGGAGTTTAAGTATCAAAGCAGGATAATTTAGCATTGAAATAGCTGAGGGATTAAGCTTGTGACAGAAATAGCTATGTTAAAGTCAGAGTTTACCTATCAACAGAGGCATTTAGTATATGGACGCTAAAGGCCTCCAACTACCCAACTTTCATACAGTAAACCGATGTGAAAAGAACTAAGTCTATATTACATAATATAATAAATGTTCTTGAAGAATATATTAAGTACATTTATTATATTATGTAATATAGACTTAGTTCTTTTCACATCGGTTTACTGTATGAAAGTTGGGTAGTTGGAGGCCTTTAGCGTCCATATACTAAATGCCTCTGTTGATAGGCAAACTCTGACTTTAACATAGCTATTTCTGTCACAAGCTAATCCCTCAGCTATTTCAATGCTAAATTATCCTGCTTTGATACTTAAACTCCTTTGTCAAGAGGTTTCACGCCTCTCACCGAGCTTAAAAAGACGCTACGAATCTTAACAACGCTCATTGGAACACTGTCGTCCCGACAGTTCTGTTCTTTCACCTGATGAAGGCTGCTTGTGTTGTGGCTGAAACGTCGTGAGAATTTTCTTGTCTTATTTTATTTTATTATTTTATTCTCATTCTACGTGACTTAACCAAAAGAACCAAAGAAGATGACATTTATAAACAGCCAGGTTCTATCTACGGGCAGCCCGTGAAAAAAGTGGACAAGATGCAGGCCCCAAACAAAAGTTCGTGTCATCTGTACTTATCATTGCACCTTACAGTGGAAGATAGTGCGTGAAATAACACAAGTGAATGTTCAATTGGTCAGATTTCCCTAACAGGCTGGGCGAAATGGGTCACATGGTCATGCACCCGAGTCCTTGGCCGCAAGTTACCACACAGGTGTCGGGGGTCCGGTTTGCACCGCGCCGGGGCGCGTGGACTGTGTTTTAAACATCCTCGGCAGCTCGACGAGGTTCTCGTGGGCTTGAGCGGGAGCACTTAGGTGCCCCCCCCCCCCATACATGTGCTACCCACCGCTGCGGCCTACGACAACGACCCAACGTTGCCGCCCGGGGAGTCGCTCGCCTGCCCGTCGTGCCGTGTGCGGGGGGCGGCGCCGCGCGGAACGTACCGAGAAGGTCAGCCCCCTCGTCCACATCCCCGATGACCTCCGACCCTGCGGTTGAGAGCTCCTTGTAGAGGGAGTCGGTGTTGATCCCGAAGGCTTTGTTCACGATGCCCTGGGTGGGGGTGCTGCGACGCAGCGGAGGCGAGACCGCACTCACTCGGTAAGGATCACCGCCCCTCGCTCGGAAACCATCACCGCGCTCGCGCGCTCTCAAGTGAGCCGCGCGCCGCCCTCGCCCCATCAGAGTTCCCCGAGCCAGCGCGGGGCAACGCGCCACTCCCTCCACGGGCAGTGCCCACACTCGCGGCGACTCCACTGCAGACTCCCCACAACGCGGTAACCAATTTTAACAGACCCCTTAGGCACAACCGGGGCTTGAACGCAAAACCTTGCGATCACGAGCGCACGGCTCACCCGACTGCGCCAAACCGGACGCAGCCTCGATTGACATTTAGCTTCGTGGCATTGTAGCGGAAACGGTGAAAGTTGACGGTGACCGACGCCTCTCGCGTGTCGTCAACGCAGAGACGGCAGTTGCTGCCCAGTCACCTGGTGCCACCAAAGCCGTCGAGGGGAGCCTCCGGCACCATGTCCAGCTCTGGGGTGGAGTCGATGATGTCCTGGATCTCCGACCACTCGTCGCTGCTCTCCATCCCTGCGTTTGGACGCACGCACGCACAAACGCGAGCCTAGTATCTCGAGTGCGTTTTGTTTCAGCAGGCGAGAACTCAAGAAGAGTGCAGGATGTTTGTTCGATTTGCAAGCGTGACCTGGGTCATCGAAACGACCCGAGAAATGTCATGAAAACAAAGTACAACATCAGAGCCAAAAACCACCAAGGTACAGATGGAACACGGTACACAAGCATTAATCGCCATCAAAATCAATATATTTTCTGTAACGAACCATTAATTTTGCTTGTCAGCAAACCGAGGGAGGACTGTTTAAAAGCAAGCAACAGTTTGACAATTGGGTACGTCGGGTTGGAGATTACATCCAGCATCATCAGCTGTTCACAACGCTGAGCTCTTGCGTGGCAGGAAAATCATGGAAGTGATGTTCAATTTAGGATTAATGTGAAACGATAAAATTTTTCATTATCTGACCTTGATTTTCGGATTTTAGATTCATAACAAAAATTGGCAAAACATCCATCTAACACACCTAATGTGGTCAAGACCAAAAATTTAATGTCTACAAATCAACTACCAGTGATCGCCATTCGCCACGGCGATGGAGTCATTGGGCGGTCGAGACGTTGGCACGTTTGCTGCCCAAAAACCCAACCAACACGGAAACGTTCGGCAACAAACGCAAACCGCGGTGCTCATCTACGTGGACGAACGAACGGCTCCCCTCCCACTTTGGGCGTTCACCTATGGACACGTTCTTGGTCTCCTGCGAGGCCTGCACCTCCGTGTGTCTGCTCCCGAGCCTCCGCCCGCCGGCGCGCGCCGCCGCCAGGCCGGCGGCCGTGTCGCCGGCGGCCGGGGAGAGGACGTCCGACGGCAGCGAGGAGGACGGCGTTGCAGACTTGGTGCCGCCTGTGCTCGGCGTGGCAGCCACCGACGACTGGCTCGAGTTGGACAGCTCGTCCTGAGTGGTGGTGCGGTGGCGAGTGAACGGGGGACACACACACACACGCGGCGTTAGAAACGGGAGACGTCGCGTGGCGTGCGTGTGCGTTATTGCCAATCAAAATACATTAATAGAAAACAAATTTTCAGGAAGTACAGAATTGCGGGAATGAACTAGAACTGAGACAATTAGAAGATTAATTTAAATTATTGACTAAAATTGTAAGACTACTTCAATTCATGCTTGCTTACTACCGCTCCTTTAAAAATGGCGGAAAACCTCCTACAAGCCAAGCCCAGTGTGATGCAGCCGATGATCACCAAATCCTGCCCATCACCTCCCATCCAGCGGCACAAGAGGAAATTCCATGCGGGGAACCTTTTCAATTCCATGAGAATAATTTAACACTGAAACCAATACTATCGTTAACATTGGGAAATCTGGAAACACAATCAGCAATGGATATTTAGTGTGTTCGGACTTCAAGGCAATGTGAAAGGTACATCAAGTAAAACGTGCAGAGAGTTAAGAACGGACCGAGTTTAGTCATTTCGGAAGAATTGTAAACACATTAAGGGATTAAATCAGCACAGGTTAGGATCTTGTGCAGACAGACACGGACCTCTTGCAATGTGACAATTTAAAAACAGATTCAGAAAAGTGACGCGACTGCTGGTTACTTGGTTATTGGAGACACACGACATCGCACAACGGAGATGAGAAACTCACAGCTCAAACCGAGCGTTGGACCAGGTGAAAAGCGATATTTTAACTCTTAACGATTACTTGATTAATTGTCGTCATGGTCAAATGACTGTTGATTATGCCAAATGTTTGATTTGAACTATTACATGGGCATGCACCAATTTGATATTACAGGGTCTTTAACGTGCCCTCTGCAGCACATGGTACAATTTGGTAAATTTCAAAGGCGTTTATTTACTCTTCCACAACGGCCCGAGTCAAAGCCGTCCTCTTTACGCGAACCGATTCAAGAGGCAATCGCTGGCTGCGGCCTGCAGACGCGATCGAGGTCTACGGCCTCTCCACGCAGCACACTCAGATCAGCTGATCCAACATACGCGAATCGGCAAGAGGCGTTGCCCATCTCCACCGCGCGCGCACGCACGCACACACGCACACACGCATTAATAACAGACGTCCGTGATGGTCTTGGCAGAAATCGAGAGGATGACCCCCAGGGGTTATTGGTCAAGCGAGCAATCAGAAGTGGCGCAGCAGACGCCACGAAGATCGGCACGCGTGCGCACAGACGAGAGGTGTCCGTCTACCTTGGTTCCTTCCGTGGCCTCTTCTGCAACAGAAGCTAATTTACTATGGCCACTCGTGTGGGACTCCTCCGGCACATTGTCCCCTCCCTCCAGACAGACATCACCGGGTTGACAACACGCGACAGCGATTGATGAACCCGGCACGCGAGTACGATTTCAGTCACGGCAATGTAGCAGAAGCATCGTTGCACAAACTTTGAAAAACAAGCAAATTTCTAACATGGCTTGTCTGTACCACACAAATGCTAACAATGATTTTCCTTAACGCATTCTATCTCGCAATGACACATATGCACGATAGCAAGCTCACCGTGGTAGCTCATCAGAAAAATAAAATATTGGTACCCATGGTATGCTTGACAGAGAATATCGTTTTGGGGGAAAAAAATCCACCAACGGGTTGAATGTAACATCTGTGGAACACGAGAATGAGTAGGAAGTGCGTCAAACAAAACAGACATTGTCACCCTAACATGGCCCCATGTGTACCAGGGCCTCTGTGATGGGAGAGGAGCTCCGGGCTACCTTGATGCTGGCGTTGGCGAGCACCTGCACCGAGCGGCCCGACTCGGCGCAGGGCCGCTCCCAGCTCTCGTTGCCCGGAGTGTCGCCCTCGCACGGCGGATCGGCGCACACGCCTGCCTCAGCATCGACTGCCCCGAACGGGAAGAGGCTCAGCGAGGCGGGCCGCTCCTTCCTGGGGTGGGAGGCATGAAGCAGGCTGTGAGTGCCACGCACGGCACCCCTCCCCCACGCCACATAGTCTTCACCGACACTAACTCGGTTGGGAGTACACACGCGCCCGCTAATTTCCTAACGGGCGATTTTACTCTGCGCCCTTACACACGAGAGACTACTCTGGGGGTTTTGCTCCTTCCCTCTGGACAGACGTCACCCGGCACAGATGACCTTCATTTACGCACCGCCCGGCGCCAGCCACAGAGCCCGGCGGTACGGGAACGGGCCCCTTCGCAGCTCGCGATCGAGCGAGATCCTCCCTCCCACCAAGCCACTGGCCCGCCGCGGCACGCTAGGCGCACGCATGATTCTCGTTTGGTCATGAACCCAGAGGAGGTCGCGCTGTGTGTGGGTGCGTACTCGGCTTCACAGCACACCCTGGGTTCGTCGCAGTTTTCTCCACGACGAAGCTCGGTGTGAACAATGGACTGCGTTGTATAATTAAGAGGACGAGCGCCTATCCAGCTGCAATAGACAAATTACCAAATAGGCCGTGCGGGGGGGGGGGGTCTGCACGAACGTGCACCAGGGAAGCATACGCGTGCTCAATGGCGCGCGTCGCTGGCGAGTTCTCGCTAGGCGCGAGACGCCGATTCACCTGGACAGGCATCAACGAGAGTTAACTATTCGTTTCACAATGCCTGGGTTCATTGGTAGGTTAACGTCCCCTATCACGGTTCACGAGTTCTTGGCCAAGCGAACGGCTCGAATCACTTGTCAAGCTTAAATGTGAAACCTCCCACGTTAGGATTCCCAGACCCGCCCCTGGATGTGTGCCAACGTTCTTAGTTTAAACACGCGCAGCACGTCTGCCGGCGACGATCAGATAGAAGCAATCAAGCCGGATGACACAGAAGCAGACACGCACAAGCCACGTGAAACGCGAAATTCAAAGGTCACCAATGAGTCAACAGGCCCTGTGCAAGGTTATATTTGCCTCTCTGACGTGAACACGTTCTTTACTTTATTTAATTTATCTATCTGATGTACCCTGCCTGTGAGATATAACCAATGTACAATAATTCAATGACAATATCTCACCCGCAGTATGTAATTTCCAGAGCCATGGATGTATTCTAAATTGGCTTGTCATATTTAACCTCATTTATGCTACATAAATGGAATTACATTAAACTGTCCAAGTGATAACACCACAGAACATTTAAAATCAGCGTGATGCCGATTATTAATGTGGTGGACTCATGACCATTTGCATACCGGGTGCTGAGCAACGCTGTGCCCACAGGGACAGCTGCCACTGGGTGCGCCCCCTTTAGAAAAAAAGCGTGGAGATTAGATACTATTTAAAAGGGTATCGGAGGGCGCGGTATCAGAAACAAATCATGATTCACTATTTATCATTATGCAACTCGTGCAAATTAGCGACATTACTATCGTACTCTCGTTGTCATGTAATCCAAGGTAACACTGCGGCCCCATCAGCTGCAGGGCCTTCCGCCTTCTCTGCGCACACTCCCACGCGCAGCACGGCGCCCTCCAGCGCCGCTGCTCGCTCCGTGACCTTTGAAACCCCTGGGCCCCGCGTGCTCGCCGACGGATCCGTGCGTCCAGACACCCAAGCAATCACAGCTGGACAAGGATATTTTTAGTTTTCGGAATTCCAGCCACTGGCAATCATCGTAGACCAGAAAGCGCACCACACGTGAGAGCAGTGAATGGTGAATTGGACAGTAAGGCTCTGTACAGAGTGAGACGCACACAGAGAGAGCGTGGCCGCGATGTGAACGATACGCGACCCGGCCAGGGTTTTCCAGAGCACCGGCGTCTGGCGATTCCACACAGAGGTCACGCCCAACACTAGCCCCTCTGGGAAACCCTGACTGCATCAAGACTTGCGTAACGCACCAAAGGGCTAGAAGCTATAAACGTGGTAACAGCACCAAGCCCATTACAGCACGATTGGCCAGAACTGCGGACATGTGGACAACTTGCGATCGGTTGGTGGTTTCCTAGACGTTGTTTAAACCTTCGGAGGGGCTGGGTCCGTGCATTGTTCCGCTCCCGACCTTTGGAACGCCGCCCGCTAAAGTCCCATCGGGCACAGTGGAATCTTTTAAATCAAATGCACAAACACATTTGTTTGCTTCTATTCGGTAAAGTCACGTAGGTAAAGGGACCAAACTGTCCGCTGGACAGTTTGGTCCCTTCACCTGATCAAGGCCGCTTGTGTTGTGGCCGAAACGTCGTGATTTTTGTTGTTTTATTTTTTACCTACGTGACTTTACCGAATAGAACCAAAGAGTATGGATCCTTGCAGTCACGAAAGCTTCAAATCTAGAAAACATTTGTTTGCATTCGCTTATCCTTTGACCGGGGTTGATTGGCCGATGGTTTTTAATGTTGTCCGAGTATTTATTGTAAGGCTTCCTGGTGCGGTCTGCATGAAGAGCTCTGTGTGCGAAAGCGACGCGTATCGAATTATAGCAGGGAGGCGGGAACAGCTGCCCCTAAACCTGTGGACATGGGGTAAGGAAATTGCCGTGCCCCCCTCAATTAGCTCCATGGGCCCCGCTGACTCCTTGACATGGACCCCACTGCCTAATTTCTCAATCAATATCAAGAGGCCGAGCTAAGTTGCATTTTTTTAAAATGAATGACATTATTCATAATAATTCTACGTACTTGTTTTGTGGAATACACTTAAAAGAGTTGAGCACATTGCAGAGAGACAGCAGGATTGAGGCTGCGTATTTTGTACTGCCTGGCAGTGCTCTGTTCGACAGTGCAATGCCCTCGGTTCATCGATTCGTGACCTGCGATGCCCTCGCTTCTCAGATTCACCGCTGCACCAGCTGCCGGGCGGATAAATTCCTTTCTGTGGAATGCCTCGAGCTGCTCTTGGAGCGAACGCAGCACCTGAGAGGGGATGGGGACGGCTCGCCGATGGGGAAAATTTTCCCAAGGGAATGGCTCGCTGATGGGAACGACTCGCCGATGATTCGAGCCGAGTGGCTGCAGCATCTGGATCTGTACGCCGCGTCCGGTGTGCGGTGACACGGGCCGAACCGTAGCAGTGCGTTAGCCGCGGTGCTGCCGAGGTTCGCAATTCAAGCCGAGCGGCTGACCTGGTTAGGAATTTAAACAAAAAATGCGCGCCGTCTGCAGAGGAGGCCATGTGTGCGAGCGGCACAGTACAAATGTGAAAAGGTTTATGCGCAAATTACCGGTAGACGTTTTCCCATCTGTGCAACACAGCACCCTACTAATAGCCTCTGTGCTATAAGGGGCGCAAGTACCAAATGTGCATTATTATGTTGCGTGTCCTACATCCTAGGTGCTGTAATGGACTTGTGCAAGAGCACGAACACACACACATAGAGGATTCAATGAGTCTGGCTCGCTTCGTGTGATGGGCCGGTCCTATTCATGTTTTTAGGATTATTTTAGAGTGTGTGTATCACACGTGACCAACACTAATTATAGAGCAAGCCAAAATAAATCACCCACCCGTTTCATTAACACCAATGAAACACCCTGTTGACAGGATCAATGTGAGAACCAGGACCGGACCATTTTTTGTTGACTAATGGAAGTGGCATTTGAATCATTCCTTGCAGGCAGCGTGTACAACTACAGCGGTAGCAGCAGCAGCAGTGACAACAGAAACCAACCTATGAAGAGCGCGGTTAGTGAGGGGGCGGTTTGAAGAATTCCCTCCCCGCATCCACGCCCCCAATGGTACAACCCGCCAGCAATGTCTCCAAGCCTGCACAGTCATTCCCAATCCACGTGACGATGCCCCAACTACCACCGAGGCCCAATACATGTGCAGCAGCGAAGGCCGCGGGGGGATGAGGGGGATGTTACATTGGCTTGGCTACATTTGCTGTGGGATGTACCATTAGGGATGCAATAGTGGGGTGCGGCGAGACAAATTCTGACCACCACCACCCCCTGCGGAGGATTATGGCGAACCCACGGCACACTGCAGCAGCGGCGGCGGCGATTGGCACAACGCTCCCGACACAGCGGCACTGTACCCACCGCTGGTCCCCGCTGCCCGGCTGCGCCTCGGGGCCAACGAGCCCCTTTTGCTCCTTCCTTAACGGCGTACACACAGCCACACAACAACGCATCATGCTCTGTCACACACAGGGGGGGGAGCCGGGGGGGTGAGCGAGCGCGCACCGCTAGTCCCCCCCCGTACCGCAGCAGAGTGGTGGGGCTGTGCCCACAAGTGGAGGGAGTTACCGCGCGGGGAAGAGGAGGGTCAGCGCAATGATCGCACGTTGCGCGCGAGCAATCGGAACGTTTTTTTAAAATCCTATCAGGTAAGGGCCCAGCAAGCTGCAATATAGCTCTTTTTGAGAAGTAACCCGGCTATCGCATGCGATAGCTCAATGAAGCTGCTTATCATCATGTGGACATTGAGATCAGTAGCCGTATACTCTAAATGCGTGATGCCGATTCTAAATGTGGAGGGAAAAATCAGAAGAACCTGAGAAAAATCCATGCGACCGCAAGGAAACTCGAAATATACAGCAACAGGCGTCAGGGGTCGGGATCGAACCCACGAACTCCTGCATACCAGGCGAGGCAGTTAACATCTCCTAGCCACCGTGGCTCCCCAAGGTGGACCCATTGCCGCCCGAGAAAGCGGTGCCCCCGCTGCCATCGGCTAGAAGAAACACGCGAACGACTTCATCAGGGGGCTCGTGAGCGTCGGCTCTGCCACAACCAACCATTGCCGAGTGTTCGTTTGCGTCCACTTGTTTCTCTCCGACAGTATTGTACACGTTACTCTATGGTCTATACCAGGGGTCTCCAACCAGAATAACAAGAGCGGGTATTTTTTTTCCCCCCCGAATCCGGCACAAAAATCAACATTTCAAAGAGCTCCAATGCGTGCGACTGCACACACACACAACGTCACGAAGCGGTCCGCAGAGAGCCACGCGCGGCTCCTGAGCCGCAGGTTGCCCACCGCTGCTCTAGACGACAGTGTCCCCTGCCGCGCCGGCGACACCTGGGGCGTCACGGCGCAGCACGTGGTGGCCACGTGCGCTCGTTGGCGTTTTCGCGTCGCCCCCTCGGGAGCGGCGGGTATCCTCTTTGGTCAGGCCCGAGTGGGTTTTAACGCAATAAACAAAGGTCCCCCGAGTAGCCTTAAAGAGACTGTAGGGGCAAGTGCTGTTAGCGAGGAGCAGCACCTATGAAGGCCGTAACGGCACACGAGGGGGGTGGGTGGCCAGCACCACGCCCGGCCGCCTTTGTCTCCCCGGTGGCGATGATTTTACACGTCGCACCACGTACCCAGGACCGATTTGAATAATCGTCACCGGTGTTGGTCGTGAGCGGGAATCGAACTCGGGTAGCCGGGCTCGTGGCGCAGCGTAGCGCTAACCGCTGCACCGCCACTCCCAGGCAGATTCGCCCCCTCCATCGTCTCGTAGTCCGCTGCTCTCGGACTCCGCGCATCGCTAAAGAAGCACTGGAAATGTTACGTTACTTAATTAACGTTACTTAATTACGTTACTTCATTGGCACAGATTTCAAGTGCGCAATGGCCATCCACGCTCTCTCGAGCGCGATCCGTTAATAATCTCCTTTCTGTTGGCAAAAATAAATCCAAGGCTGGTGGTGATGACGATGATGATCACCATCAGCAGTCACGGTCTTACCACTGCTGGATGAAGGCCTCCTCATTTTGTGTCTTCATGCAGTATCAGCTAAAGTGGTTCCAACTGTAGCAATGGTTTTGATAATTTCTCTATCGTCTTAATGAAGGTTTTGGTGAGAGCTCGCCCCTTTAAGATCGCCTACAAACGCCAGGCGTGGTTGCAACACCTTTTACAAGTCCAACTGGCTCACATTGTTAAGTTGTTAAGTTAAAAGGACACCGCGATGATAACTAAGCCTTCAGTTGGCCACAACGGCAAACGAACAAATCCAACCCAGACGGGTTGGGCGCGATCGGCAAGCAGCCTGCGTTCAGGTGGTAGTCTCGACGCGGGCTTTAAAAGCAGCGTTACGTAAGAGTTCTTTCACCGGTGATGGAAACGTGCGCCGAGACCAACAACCGCGGTCCCCAAGGGGCAGGCCGCACGTACGGGGGCCGCTGACAGGGTCGTCTCGCCAGACACGACGCAGGTTCCCACCACACGTGAAGAGCCGTGGTGGTAACCGTGGACCCCTGTGGAAGCGTGTGTGCGTTCGATGGCACACGAACGCACCCAAGCGAGGCCTCCCTTGAAACCAATCCATACAGTGTGGCACGGCCACACGAGCGCTGACAAATGCTCCACAGCCTTTGCTCACCGCGCAACGCCTTAAAACATTCGCTGTGCCGTCGTCACTCGCGTGATTTCCGTCGGTGATGACAACATCTTATCGACTTCATATCGTCATCATTGTCATTTTTGTTTTCACGAGCGCTTTCGTAGCGCTGCCGTCACGCGCTTGAACCGGTCTGCGTTTCACCAAAAGGGCTGTCACCGAGCAACAAAACAAAGTGAACTTTAAACTCGGGGAAAGGATTAATTCATTAATTCATGTGGGTCCGAGCGTGGGTGCGAGCGCGAGTGGTGGTCGAGGGGGGGGGGGTCTATGAGAGCGTGGCGCAGCGCAAAGGACACGGCCGAGGGATGTGAGCGCAGAGGCAAGACGGCCAAGCCATACCGTACCTGCTTCTCCAGTGGACGCGGCTGTGCGCAGGTAAGCAAGCGTGGCGGCAGGGCGAACACACAAGGGGAGGAAACGCAGTAAGCGAGGAAGGCAAAGCAGCAGATTCAATGTTCGTATTGAAAAGGTTTTTTCCTTCCTTTGTCCGTTTACTTTCAAAGAGTGCGTCTGTGTGCCAGACGGATGAGCAAAATGGAAATAGATGAAACGGTGTCACCCCTCTCCCCCTCCCCCGAGAGGCCGAGGCTTTGGTGGCCTGAGGGTGTGGGTTAGCAGATACTGCCACCCCGCTAAAATGTAGTCGTTACCTAATCAAACCTTTAACTGACGAGACAAACCCCTGCGGAACAGAGTAATAGCACAGGAAGGAAAACCGTACGTTTTAAGCACGTGGTATTTGTGCATTATACAATAAGCATCTTGAAGAAGTGCATTGTGGTCCTATTGTCTTTTGATGATGACCGAAGAAAAGGGGACCACAATGCACTTCAGGAAATGCCGATTGCTTTTGCATATTGCACAAGGCTGTGTGTATTACAAATTTGTGCGTGTTGTTTAAAACTCATGATCTTCAGCCCCCAGACAGAGCGCAAGAAACCGCCTGTCACTCCGCAGGTGGCGTCACCAAAGAGAGTAAAAACAAAGCTCTTTTCAAGGTGCGGCCAATCACCTGTGAGGACCATCAGCCCCCTGGGTTTCTTAAAACGAATTCAAATGGATTTTTAAGGAATAAACAAACACCGTTTGCTGAACTTCAGGGAGGGTCGGACGATTGGTTTAAAATTAAACTCCGCGCGTGACCTTCCAACCATGAGAGGGCTTCGGGATGGAGTTGGTGCAGCAGTTGTGCTGTTCCTCCTCCGTTTGAGTGCAGACTACGGTGGTTCACTATCTGGCCCACAGATTGGCGTAAGTGGCCACAATCGCACCGTGTGACTTGCAGCGCCACTAAGATGTAATTATTAACATCTCGGGGTTTCTGCCCCCACCCCCCACGGTAAAAGACCGGGAAGGGAATACCGCTGTTCAGCAGCACAGCAGAGGACAATCGTCCTGTTCGTGGCGAAAACCAACGTGGCGATGGAGCGGTTTCACGGAGGGGAAGGGGGAAAAAAAAGGGGAAGGAAAATGATGAAAGGGCATGGCACGGCCGAACTACAAAGGAAGACAAAAAAGCCACACATGGCGTAGAAATAAAACTCACTGAAGCAGAGCGTCAGCAGTCTTTACAGGGGGCAGGGGATCGAGCGTGAGGTTGTACGAAGCGGGGTGGATTGCGTGCGAGCGCTGGCTCTGTACACGTTGCGAATAATCCGCACGTTAATGCGGCTTGCGAGCGTGGACACAGCGCGGCCGTTTTGCAAAGGCAATGCGTGCTAATGAAATGACAGCGAGCTTATGCACTGCCCCTTCATGAGATACTCCGCTGCATTTTATATGTAAAAAAAAAACACGCATTTGACAACTCCGCCCAATTTAATCTCGCACGCCCCGTGTTTGTGTGCAGTATGCAACGTGTAGGCGTATACAGACCAGCATGCATTTTCAAAACAATACAGGCCAAGTCCAGATCGACATTTCCCACTGCAATCTGCATAAGTTGTATTCGAAAATGGCCGTCGCAATGAGGCAGGAACACGAACACACACACGTTTGTATGTTAGGTACTGAAACGTGCCAGTTAGTAGTAATTGTCAAAGCGGGCTGGTGCTGCGCGTACGTTTTACGAGAAGTCTGGGAGCCGTCGGGCTGACCGGCGTTTGCCTGCTGAGCTTTGGTCCGCTCCATGTGCTCCATGTACGTCTGAATCATCTGAAAAGCACGGCGACAAAACACAGCGTGCGCTCGACACACACACTCACTCACACACACTCACACAGCGCTAGCCAGGTACGGGCCCCACTTGGCAATGTTTTCAACAGACATCTCGCCCGGTTTTCAAAATTTTTTACATTAACATGGAGATGTTTTACCATACAATTCTCATTTATACGGCACCGAAATGCACCCACATCTCAAGATATTGTATAAACTAGTGGGGCGAGAAATACGGGGGGGGGGGGGGAAATTCGACAATTAATATAAACTGTACCCGTACAAAAATATTGCTTAAAAGAGAAGTCAGAGTCATAGGCAGAGATGAAGAGGAAGGCCTTGAACAGGGGGCAGGAAGTTGGTCGCACAGATGGCTTGGAGGGACGGCGTTCCAGGCTACCGAGGAGAGCAGAGAACCTTTACCGCATCGCCGTGCGCCCCTACCTCTGTGTGCCTCTGGTGCAGCATGTTGTATTCCCGCTTCATCTCCGCCTCCCTCTCGTCGTGCCTCGTAACTGCAACGGGGTGCGGACGTGCGTACGCGCTGTTACCGTCGCGCTCTCGGCCGTGGGCGTTCGCGCCTAGCCAGGCAGCAGCTTCGTCGTCTGCGGACTGCGGTGGCACCCAGGCACCGCCGCTAAAGCTTGTTTACTTAGCGGACACGGCCAGTGACGGTGCGCTTCGCCGTCCGTCTTGCGCCACGGCTGCGGTTCCGGGAGCCACGGTGGCTGGGAGATGTTAACCACCTCGTCTGGTATGCAGCAGGAGGTCGTGGGTTCAATCCAGACCCTGACGCCTGCTGTATATTTTTTTAAGTTTGCATGTCCCTCCCCCCCGCGGTCGTGTGGAATTTTATCCCGGGTCCTCTGTTTTCTCTCTCCACATTTATAATCAAGGTGCGTTTATAGAGTATTTGGTTGCTATAAATTTCCACGTGATAAGCCACTTCGTTGAGAAGTCATTTGTGATAGCCAGGTCACACGGGCAGACATGCCGCGCTCCACTACGGTCGTCTACGCGGTGACCGACTGGCCAAAATGACCACAATACAAGTCTGCGCCAGATGTTCAGGGGTGCTTTGCCAAATTGAGTACAACGCTTCAAATATATTATTTTTACTCCACTTGATCAACAAGTAAAGCTTTACCGAGTCTCACTTAGTTTTCAGGAGGGTCCTGCCAAGCTTTAGCAGGAGCGTTGGGCCATGTTGCCGCTGTGTACGCGCTCATCATTTAAGTAATTCAAAACAATGTTTTTGGTCAATACCAGTTACATATATATTTCGTAATGGGAGGAAACAGGAGAACAGTGAGGAAAACCATGCGGAACAGGGGGAGAGAACCTACAAACTCCACACGCAGAAAGGCACACAATTCGCGAATCGAACCCAGGCCCTTCTCGCCGTGAGGCGCGGGTATTACCATGGGCACCACCCTGCCGCCCCAATATTAAAAATACCCCGCTCCTATTAAAAATTAACCAGGCGCGTGCGCCTGTGTGCAGCACACCGTAAACGAACCGGCGCGCTTTACTCTCTCACTCGGCAATCAATGAAGCAGATACGATGCACGTCTTGCCGTGCAAGCAAATCGGTAAAGAATAACTCCGCTTACAAAAAAATAAAAATGATTTGCCGATGCTGCCGCATTAGGTGCACAAGCATAAAGAACAAAAACAATTCAACACATTGGTCAACGGCACTGCGGCCTTGAAGGGAATCGCTTACATAACCGGTGATGTTACATGGCGCGTACATTGGCAAAATTTACCCCGCAGGTTACTCAATTACGAGGAATCTGCCTGTTACGTGGTCACCCGTTATACGTTTTCCCGAGCTCTTACTTTGGTCACAGTAGTTTTTGACTTTAAGCTCCAGCTGCCTGGACTGAAGCTCCAAGCCCTCCACCTTCATCTGCAGATCTTTCTTCTCTTGCTCCAGGACATCTTCAAACTCGATGTATTTCTGCACGCACAGCGACAGCAATGCACTCGCTCCCATCACACGTTCCCATGTTCCCATCACGCGTTCCAATCACGCGTTCCTACGTTCCCATCATGCGATCCTCATCACACGTTCCCATCACGCATTCACACATTCCCATCATGCGTTCCCATCACACGTTCACACATTCCCATCACGCGTTCCTCATCACACGTTCCCACGTTCCCATCACACGTTCACATGTTCCCATCACACGTTCACACATTCCCATCACACGTTCCCACCACGCATTCCAACCATGAGTTCCCATCACGCATTCCGAGGTTCCCATCACGCGTTCACACGTTCCCATCACACGTTCACACGTTCCCATCACACGTTCACACGTTCCCATCACGCGTTCCCACCACACATTCCAAGCATACGTTCCCATCACGCATTCCCACATTCCCATCACACGTTCCCACATTCCCATCACACGTTCCCACATTCCCATCACAGGTTCTCACGTTCCCATCACACGTTCCCACGTTCCCATCATGCGCTCCTACGTTCCTATCACGCATTCCCACATTCCCATCACACGTTCTCACATTCCCATCACACGTTCCCACATTTCCATCACAGGTTCCCACGTTCCCATCATGCGCTCCTACGTTTCCATCACGCATTCCCACATTCCCATCACACGTTCACACGTTCCCATCACGCATTCCCACATTCCCATCACACGTTCCCACGTTCCCACGTTCCCATCACGCGCTCCTACGTTCCGATCACACTTTCCCAACACGCGTTCCCAAATTCTCAACACGCGCTCCCATCACCCCGTATGGAAGTAGTCTCTTCCAGCTTCTGGCTACCCTTTGAGTGTCAATGCCAAACTCCATGTGAAAATAATGACTTTGCACATGTCGTATTCGCACACTTGTTCTTATATCGCAGGGCTATCATGAAGGAAGGCACTATGTTTCATAGACAGTCTGTAATAGTTTCACAGTAGGGGGTGATATTGCTTTGTGCAATCCAAATTGAGTAAATTGTGGTTCCATTTCCGAATTTGCCAAATTTGGACGATGATGTCGGCAGGCTATTGCACTCTTTTCAAATCATGTAAGGGGATCATTCATCATCCACTGTGAAGCAGACACTGTAGTATTTTATGGTTAATGCACCCGCAATAATAACCAGGGCAGCCAGCAGAATCCGAACCGCGAGCTTCTGCAACAGGTGGCGAACACGCGACCGCTGCAGCCACAGCACCGCGCAAATCCACAAACTGCGGTCCGTGATGCCTTTCAAACATAAAGATAAAACCTGATGTGGCCACGAATGATTCGTCCACAGGCAACAGACGATTCACGTAAATGTTCTCAGCCGCAAACAAACGTCAACGTTTTACAAAACCCAATAAACGTCACCACGGGATCCCTTCAACAGGAGTCTTGTGCCCTCCACCTGTCTGCCCGTGACTGTGACCACCGCGATAAACAAAGACCATATTCTTTTTCAGAACATGTGTCCCATAGCCTCCCTAAGACAGGATCAATTTCCCTTAATATTTAATACAATTGCAAGCTAGGCGGAAAAGAGGTTCCTCAGTCGGGCCAAGCCTACCCTTGCTAGCGAGCCTCACACATGCATTATTGCTCTCCCATCTCAATAACAATGTCATGAAAATCGTCACCAGTATATATATATTCCTTTGGTGTTTTTTTACTTAATTTGTAATTGTGTGAAGATCAGTATAAAAATAATCTACTTGTGCTGCAGGGAATTTATTATTTGGCTTCGATTTGCGTTTGTACAGTATTTTAGATTTCTCATGTGACACGGCAATTTTTTCGTTGTTGTTTCATTAAAAACTAAGACGAGGTTTTACCCTTGGTGGCAATAAAACAGGCGGTGTGAATATATTCCAACACCAAATAGGAACGTTTTGCAAGGAATCAGGTTACTGCATTAACCACACAGTGCTTGTGGTGAACATGCAAATAAACATGCTGGCAAAAAGTTCCCATTTTGTTGTTGTTGCTGTTCACGCTGTTGCTGAGCTTTGTTGATTTGCTTTTTGTGATTTTTGACGATCCAGGTCACTCATTCCTTTTGCTAATTGAGACTCAACCTGGTGTCGAGGTCTCACCTGGTTAAAACAAACACTTGAAACGTTGCACTCCAAAAATAATGAGAAATAACATTCCGTAACATTACAGAATGTATCAGAGCGCAGGTTTATTTATGCCTAGGAGACCACCTGATGGCAGGAGGTGGCGGCAATACACGTGGCAGGAGGTGGCGGCAATAGACGTGGCAGGAGGTGGTGGCAATAGACGTGGCAGGAGGTGGTGGCAATATACGTGGCCTGTAATTCAGCACTGTGGAGGCGAGGGTTGGTGAAGCTAACAAATCTTGCGAAACTCCCTTCCCATGGACTCATCTCCATCTGTTCCATCTGCATTGGATAGAGGGTTGCCCACTCGCATGTGTGGGTTTTCTCCAGGCCCTCTGGATTCCTCCCACATTCAACCACTAATTAACTGACCGATAACACTGTAACATATATACATAAAGGACCGCAGAGCTCGGTGGTGAATTTGGCACCGGCTCACAACCTGGCTGCTGCTGCTGCTGCCGCCGCTGCCTTCCTGCTGGTCTGTACTTCCTTCTCCTCGTGCCTCCGGGCCTTTTTATCTCTTCCAGGGCGAGTGAAGACCGAGTCCGGCTGCACGTTACGGTCGGGGCGATTATCTATTTACTGCTATCATGACCACCACTGCATGTCCGTCGGCACAATTACGTTGGGTCGTTTACCGAAGAGCGAATGCGAGTCGCGCGCACACATACACACGGAAAGCGGAACGATTCTTCTCATTTATTGGTGGAAATTGATGCTTACACACACTCACAATACGTGAATTTGTACACCGCGTGTAACAATCCAATATTCATGATGTCCGATAATTATGTACGGATGTTTACGTTCAAAGCGATGCTGCCGGGGTATCGCGGTTGGCGTGCCCCGCCACTTGCAAAAATAGAGGTCACCAATTCCATCTCCTGGCGTGGCAGTTAAAACAACGCGCAAGTTTCCCAAATCTCCTGCCTCACCGAGCAGTATGAATGGCTTCATTACAGTTAGTCAATGGGCAGGTCGCCCTGTGGTGGGGTAAACCGAGTACTCCCACCTCTTCAGAGATGTCAGGCCTGTAGTGGAAGAGTAGGCCAAATACCCTATGGAGGAGGCCTCCACTAGAGCTCCCTCTGGTGGAGGCCCCTTCTCCCAGCAGTGGTGTGATAAAGAAATTGCGGGGCTGCGCCTTGAACCTTTAAAATGATACAATGAAAACAGAAAAAAACTGTGCCGTAATTCAGAAAACTGGACAAGGGAGACAAAAAATAACCGATTCTTGACTAACCTCGTGAACCACAATCGTGACAATTAATCAAATTGCCAAGGGCATGAACAAATTACAGACATCCCGGATACACTGCCTCAGGCGTTGGGCATGGAATGAGTCATCTCCCTCTACAATCCGATGACCTATCAAGACGTTGAGCCCACACTTCTATTCAACGATTGATTCTCTATGCTTTCCTTGGACAGTGCCTGATGTGGAGTGGCGATCGAGTGGTTAAGTGCACTGCACTCCGAGCTGGGCGATCCGAGTTCAATTCCCGGCCACAGATAACATCGGTGGCGAGTGATAGCAGAGCTGGCCCTTGGCCCATGCCCTGTCCCCTCGATGAACTGAGAGCAGGAAGCGATCACAGGGCTGATGCAATGCGAGTTGCGCTTCATCACAGCCATAGAGAGGGCAGAGAAAAATTTTCGTGACCTTTTGCACTGAACACAAGACGAACACAGGAGCGATGCGATTCAGCAGAGTCAATGGGCTCCGTTGTTCTGTAGCCCCGGCCTGCAATGAGCACGTGCATTCCCGAGGGCCAAAACGATTGTGCTGCCTGCCATCCCTCTGCGTGGGGACGTGCGGACATGACCCTGCGCCACACAGAAGCAGCGGGTATCGTTACAAAATCACCCGGCCAGGTGACTCAGCGGGAGAGCGAGCGGGCGGCTCGCGACCGGGCAGTTACGAGTTCACATCCCGGTTGGGGGGAGCGAATCGGCCCATCATCCCTCTGGTGTTGGTAAAAAAAACGCGCACGACTGTATGGGGAAGGCCACAATGGTTGTTATGTGAAGAGATTCGCCCTCGTCATAGGAATGCAGAATTTCCACCACTGGCCCAGGGCTATAAACGGGAGTCCTCATGCTCATGCAATTGTTTTTTTTACAAGCCGCTTGGAAAGATGCCGCGTAACCTTAAATTCAGATCCCGCGTGTCGACTAAAAGCGGATGCCTGACAAATGCATAAACACTGCCACCGAGAGAAAACTTTCTGCGGCTAAAAGAAGCCGTCCTATATAAAGACTCTACGTGGAAATAAACAAGGCAGCCGTACGGAACGAAGCTGTACGATGCAGAAGTGAAACACCCCATTCATTAACGTTTCCTTTGCACGTGGATCATGCTTTCACAGTGGGCAATACAGTACGGGGATGATGCCGTGGTGTAATGGTCAGCACATCGGACTTTGCAATCCAGAGGTCGCCCGTTTGATCTTCCGGCACAGCGGTTGAAACAATGGGACAAGTTCATTCAAGTGCACCTCCCCGTTCTGCCTCAGTAGTATAACTGGGTACACTGCGGTGAGTCGACCGGCAGGCAGGTCGTATGCGGTGGGATAAAGCATGGGTACTCCCCACCTCTTGCAATACGTGTTGCCATCGTGGAAGAGTAGACCAAATACCTTCCAGGGCCGGCTCTCTAGAGCTCCATCGAGTGGAGGCCCTTCTGCCAGCAGAGGCGTGAGCACAGAAATTGCAGCGCTGCGCCTTTACCAACCCTCTTCACCTAATGTGGTTAAAGAAGGTTTTAAAGGCTATACAAGTATCGAGAGTTGGGTGGACAGTGCACCGAAGAATAAGAGGGGTTAAAAAGCTATCGCACATCTTGCCT